TATGATCCATCTCCAGTGTACGAGATACAAGTCCCCGCCTCCTCCCAAGTACGATCCATCTCCAGTGTACGAGTACAAGTCCCCGCCCCCTCCCAAGTACGATCCATCTCCAGTGTACGAGTACAAGTCCCCGCCCCCTCCCAAGTATGATCCATCACCGGTCTACGAGTACAAGTCGCCACCACCTCCCAAGTATGATCCATCACCGGTCTACGAGTACAAGTCGCCACCACCTCCCAAGTATGATCCAAGCCCAGTGTACGAGTACAAGTCCCCACCACCGCCCAAGTATGATCCATCACCTGTCTACCTGTACAAATCCCCGCCTCCTCCCAAATATGATCCATCTCCAGAGTACAAGTCGCCACCGCCGCCAGCGTACTGAGCCAAAAGCCGGAGTCATTTTTTAGAAATAACGGATGTAAGATTTAATTTTTACCGAATCCAATAACGGTTTTCCTCTTTGACATGGCTGTTCAGTGGAGCTCTGGAAAAGTAGAAGGTAGAAAACCCTGTTCTTCGAAACAAGTGAGTCTTCAGAGAGAGAAGAAAACGAACCGAAAGAGAGGCTTCTTACCTTGCCACCAAATGTTTCTTCAAAACAAGTGAGTCTTCAGAGAGAAGGAAAAAACTGAAAGAGAAGGCTTATCACCTTGCCTCCAAATGTTTTTTAGTCTATCTAGATTGTGAACTGTTTTTGAGACACAGGTTAAAGGCAATAATTTTAACTCCAATGTGCCCACTTTACATCGCCACGACACTCTATTACCTCCCTACCGATCTATGCGCTCACCAGGAAAGGATGCTGGCAGACACCACACTCTACCGTCTCCGATCCGAAGCTCGGAACCTCAACCTGTACAAGAAAGTAGCTTAGCTTCGACAGTCGGACGTGATACAAACAGAACCACGCACCTCCAGATGCACTGTGCAAGTTGGACAAGCAACGTCTCGCGTGCGGCGTCTGCTACCGTCGGTTGATCTTGAAGTTCTCCTAGTTACTCCATTTCGACCCCCAGACGCATCCGAACCACAAGTCGGACATCCGGCTGTGCTTCCTGTTACGATTGAAACGCTCCCGCACTTGCTGCAGTTGAGTAAGGACGTTTGACCTGACAACTTGTCAACAGTCTTCCGTGGCGGAGCATTACGTTCCAGTTCCTCCTGTTCGAGCAGCTTTGACGAATCAGAACTTGTCATATCTCAAGGCAGTACCAAACCTGAAGCTTCTTCGCAAGATCTTCATGTGACTGCTGAGATGCAAACTTGTTGCTAGTCTCTTTCGTGTTGGTCAGCCTTTGTGTAACCTCAGCCTGTCACAGAGAGCGTCAGTCAAGGTTTGAGAAATGTCAAAATCTTACCAGACAACGGTCACAAACACGAACAATCTGTGCATCTTCATCGGATGTCAAGGCTGTTCTTCCGCGTGTGCACTTGTCACAAAATATATCACCGCAATTCCGGCAATGGTGCTGTTAATCACGAAGATAACTGTGAAACCATGCCAGCTTAATATCGATATACTTACTCTCCGAAGAAAAGGCCCGAAGTCACTCGAACAAGCTGTACATTTTGTCACCGCTTCGTCTGGAACCTAAACAAACGCAATAGGGATATCATGCACCAATTCAAAAAACATACCCAATGATCCTTTTCTTCTTGAACTGGTGCCTTGGAACGAGTAAGCCATTCTGAGAAGGTAAACTTCTTCTCAGGGGTGACAATTGAAGAAATCGAAGCCTTCGCTGCGTCACTTTTCCCAACCATTTCACATAGCTACACCGAAAACTCTGATTTACTTTACAAGGTTACAAATTAAACAAATACCTGAACACATGCTGCAGTTAAAGTATCCAATATGGCATTCGTGGTGGAAGCACTGGACTGTAACCTTGTTCTACGTTGCTCAAAATCGACAGCGCTCTTGGCCCAGAACGTAAACACCGATGGCTCATTAACCTGCAACCAAAACTTGAGAAACTCTCTAAATTCATGCTTCAGAACTTACTTCCCACTTCGTAATAGTGTCGAGAGGATAAATTCGCAAGGTCCGTCCGGAGCTTGGATCAACAAGTCGAACTCCATCCAAACCGATCTGTGTAAGCAGGAGAGTTTACAGCAATCGAGAAACAAACGCAACGTAATGATCAAACCTGGCACACAACATTCGTCGGAAGACCCACGGAGCTCGAGTCCTGTAGAAGCTTTACGTGATACTTTTGCACGCCACCGCCTCTCGACTCGCTGTCAACTTTCGGCAAAGCCTTGGCCAACTTCGGCAGATCCCCGAGTGGATTACTGCTCTCGGAAGCCCACCGTGCCGATCCGGTCCCCCTCGATCCATACGGCTGAGAACTTCCACCATCATAGGCATAAACTCCAGTAGAGTAATCCACTCGGCCACCACTCTCCGTGCTGTAAGAAGAAGACTTCTCCGCAACACCTCCATATCTTCCATCGCTGGCGTGTGGATTCTCTTCGCTCACCGCTGGCTCATATCCCCATCTAGACGCTGCCTCACTGTACACCGCGGCATCCACAGTGCCATATCCTCCACCATAACTCGAGCTCCTACCAAGCTGGTAGTCGGAAGTTCCATAAGCCGAGGGCCAACTATGCGTGTAAGAACTGGCGGCCGGCTCAAACGACGATCTCTCGTGAGAGGGGAGGCGATCAAACGAAGGAGCTCGCGGCGAATAGGACGGATCGTGCGTGGAATACGAGAAAGTGGCTGGATCGGGCGGCGGTGGAGCGTAAGCCGGGATCTGTGCATACATCCCAGCGCCGCTCTCCTGTGCTGTGGATCCGGGATAGGAGGCGAGGTAATCCGCGGAGGAGGAGGAGAGAATGGGGGAGCTTGGGGCGTAATTCGCGTAGCTGCTGGGGTGATAATACGGGGGATTCGATGGCGGCGAAGCGTAGGAAGGCGGCGATGGCGATGGATAGGCGGGCGTCATACCTGGAGTAGCGGCGCCATAGCCAGCGTGTTGGTGCTGCATCGTCGTCGCGCTCTCTCGCCCTAAAATCTTTGCGTGAGAGAAAAAGCAAATGCTAGTGTGCCACGTCAGCGCCAAGATTGTTTGCCCGCATATTCTTTGGCCGCTTTGGTCGCGCGTCTTTGTGTGGAGAAGAGATGCGCTCTATCCACATAGGCGCGATGGCGTCTCCACCGCCAAAGGAGCAAAAAAATGGAGCTCCTGGAGCCAGGATTCTCAGCAGCCGAATGATACCCGTCGAGGAGATGAAGAGGGCGGCACTGATTGATCGCAGTGGTGAGTTTCTTCTCGAATTCATTCGCATTTGCTAGAACAATTCTTGCAGGCAATGGAACCACACTGAAGAAAATCCCGGAAAACGCTAATGGTAAACGCAAGTTTTTCGCTCGAAGACGAGTTCTTCCTAGCAACTGAGTCTTCGTTTACGTAGGAAATGGAGCTACTGGCTTGAGAAAAATCTTGGAGAATGGCAATGGTAAGCTAAAGTTTTTCTCTTAACGACTGCTACATCGTTTCTGCGTAGAAGATGGAGTTTCTAGTGGCACAATCAAGCTGTCGGTCGACATAGAAAACTCTTTCAAACTTCCAGAAAAATCTGGCAATAGTGGTACTAGGATTACAAAGTCGGTGCTCCTCCCTTTGAGCGATCGAGTGGACGTTTTGCCGTCAGACGAGAACTTTAGCTGGTCCAAAGAGAACTACAGCAAGCTGCAAAGAACCATCGATGTGTGGAGCTTTGTGTTAAGCTTGAGAGCGAAACTCTTCCTGATAGACGCCAAATGGTCATACGTTGGAGGATTCAGCGAAGAGAAGAAGGTACTTAGACGAAAGAGGTAGTGTTCTTTCCATATCTCGCTGTGCAAAGTTTTCTAACTCTTGGTTTGGTTTCTTTCACGCATCAGATTTCACGGAGGCGTAGCATAGCAGTGTGGGTGAAAGAAACCATACTGCAGCTCGGACCAACTTTCATCAAACTTGGCCAGTTGTTTTCGACGAGGTCGGACTTGTTCCCAGCTGAATTTGTGGAAGAGCTTGCAAAGCTTCAGGTGACAGTCTCGGTGTTTGTGGAGAATGTTATGCTTATGTGTGCTGTGTAGGATCGAGTTCCAGCTTTTTCTCCAGAAAAAGCAGAGCTCATGATTGAAAACGAGCTGGATACTCCGATGCAGGTGCTCTTCTCGGAGTTTGAAAGGCAGCCTTTGGCAGCTGCGAGTCTTGGACAAGTAAATCGAAGTTTTGCTTTCAGCGTGTTGATCAACGTTCTAAGAACTGTTTTATTTTAACAGGTGCATAGAGCGGTGCTTAGAAATGGTGAGCAAGTCGTGGTGAAGATCCAAAGGCCTGGCTTGAAAGAGCTGTTCGATATCGACTTAAGTAAGATTTTGTTTTCTCGTTCTCTTGTCTGACAAGTTTGTTTCAGGCAATCTTAAGTTTATAGCAGAATACTTCCAAAAGGACGAGATGCTTGGCGGTCCTTTGAGAGACTGGGTGGGAATCTACGACGAATGTGCTACGTAAATTCCATGGTTTTTGTTATGAGTCCTTACAATCACTCTTGCAGAGTTTTGTATCGGGAAATCGACTACATAAATGAAGGACGAAATGCTGATAAGTTTCGACGTGATTTCAGGAATATCAAATGGGTGAAAGTCCCTGTAAGTAGGAAATCTTGCTCCAGTGTGCATTTCTAACGCGAAAAGGGTTTTCTCTGCAGAAAGTTTACTGGGATTTTACGTCGCGAAAGGTCATAACACTAGAGTATCTCCCAGGTACAATCGATTGGTAGCCGTCCGAGCCTTATTTCTATCATCTCGGTCTTGCAGGCATTAAAATCAATGACTTGGCAGCTCTAGACGCCGGTTCCTACAAGCGCTCTCTTATAGCATCTCGGGCGATTGAAGCTTACCTCATTCAGGTTAGCGAACTCGAAACATTCCTGTTTACGTTTTTTCACTATTGTTTTCTGTTATGTTTCTAGATCTTAAAAACTGGATTTTTCCATGCTGATCCACACCCGGGAAACTTAGCAGTGGACGTTGATGGATCACTTATTTACTACGACTTTGGGATGATGGGCGAAATCAAGTCTTTCACAAAGGAAAAGCTTCTGGAGCTCTTCTATGCGGTGTATGAGGAAGATGCTTCAAAGGTAACTAGAGCACTTTCACGTCAAAGGTAATAGTAGCATTTCTCAGGTTATTCAAGGATTGGTAGACTTGGGTGCTTTGGTTCCAACAGGAGACATGGGACCTGTAAGTTTTCTTTCTAGAAATTCTAGATTTTCAAGCAGAGAGTTAACTTCCATGCCAAAAACAGGTGAAAAAGACAATACAATTCTTCCTGAAAAACTTGACGAGCCAAAGACCCGATCAAGCCACAACGTTCACGGCTATAGGAGAGGTACGCGCATGTCAAGCGTATAGAAGCCAATCTAACATGTCTCTCACGAATGCTAGGATTTATTTGCCATTGCTGTGGACCAACCATTTCGTTTCCCATCGACTTTCACATTCGTGTTACGTGCTTTCTCGACTCTGGAAGGTTTTCTTTCACAAACTTTAAATGATCATGCTTAAATAGTTTTCTTTTTGTTCAGGCATAGGCTATATTCTTGATCCAAAGTTCTCATTTGCGAAGATTGCTGCTCCATACGCTCAGGTAAGCAACCTGTTTCTACAGTGAAATGTGGATCTTAACATTCTTTTTTATTTACAGGAGCTTTTGAACATCCGAGACTCTAGAAGGGATTTCGTCCAGGAGCTCCAGCGCCAAGCTATGGAAGTAAGCAAAAAACCATTTGACCGTTTCTTTGTCCTCGTGCCAAATACCTTGTGCTCGTCCAGACACGGGATGCAACAGTCGCGATGCCAATGAGAGTCCAGCACATAGAGAAATTTATGCAGCAGCTGGAGGACGGCGATATCAAGCTCCGGGTGAGGGTTCTCGAGGTAAGCGATCGTCGCTCCACAAAGTTTAGAAGATTATAACACAGGAATGATCGCGATACAGGCCGAGCGAGCAGCAAGGAAATCCTCGGTTTTGCAAACCACGACCATGAATCTGGTGGCGGCTGCGACGCTGGTAAACGTGGGTGTGACTTTGAGCACCCAAGGACTGCAAGACTTTGCTATAGCCTCTTTCCTTGGCGCTGGTAAGTGATCTTCGTTATGGAAAATCGCAGTAACTCAATATCTCCTATTGCGTTCACAGGAGCATTCTCGATGTTCATCTTCTGGGGGATGAAACGCGTCAAGAGTCTCGATAAGTTTGAAGATATGATCAAGTAACAAGTGAAAAGCCATACACACATTCATGAAAAATCCCATTCTTTACATACATACATTAGAGTCTTTTACTAAAGTTGACTCGCTCCATTTGACTTAGCTGACGAAACTTCCTATTTCGTCGGTCCGCGTCCAATTACACGAGAATTTCTATTGCTGAAGAAGAAAAAATGAAGAACATAGTCCGTCGAGAGGAATGGCCAAAGACGTGCATTTGACAAGAACCAAACATATCGTGCAAGAAAAAAAGAACATAGTACGTCGAGAGGAATTAAAATCAGCGCTTTTGACAAGAACCAAACATATTGTACAAGAATCTCTATCACTGCAAGAAAAAATTAAGAAAACGAAGAACATAGTGGAATGGCCAAAGACTTCAAATCAGTGCTCTTGACAAGAACCAGTCCTATCACCACTAGAACTTATCACAGTCGGATCGAGCAACGGGATGTTTTGGACTCAAATGTGGCAGAGCGTTTGCTTCTCCTTTCGAATCAAAGATACCTCTTCCAGCAAGAACAAGCCAGTGGCAGAAAAAGTGCATACCAAAGTGTAGTATCAGTACCCCGAGCTTTCTCTCAGCCACCTTCAAACTCCTCTGAAGCTGGACTTAAGTTGGCCATCATCGCGTAAGCAGACGAATCCTTTGCATCCACTCTAATTAGCTCCCGGAACGCGATCCTTCCCAGCTCCAAATTTTTCCATTTGTGACAGGCACCCAGGAGCGTCCTCCAAGTAACGTCGGTCGCTTCATACGGCATGCTTCTCGCCATGTCTACAGCCTCGTTGAGCTTGTTGGCCCGTCCCAGCAGATCGATCATGCTGTGGTAGTGCTCGATGGCAGGAGCTATTCCTCCCGACGACAGCATGGTCTCGAAGTACTTCTTTCCGGTCTCCACAAGCCCCGAGTGGCCACAGGCCGTGAGCAGACAGAGATAAGTCACACCGTCTGCCTGTTTGCCTGCCTCGACGAGCTCGTTGAAAAGAGAGAAAACGCGTTGAGTGTCACCCTGGCGACCGTAAGCCGAGATGATCGTGCTCCAGCAGACCGGGTCTTTTATAGTCGAAATAGAGTCGAAGACGAGCTGAGCATCGACCAAGGTCCCACATTTGCCGAAGCAGTCGATGAGAGAAGTTGCCAAGCTCGCATCGTCCTCAAGTCCCCGGCGGCAAATCTCTCCATAGGCAGCTTTCACAGCTCCCAAGGTGGCGGCGCTTGCACAGGCTTTGACAAGAGCAGCATAAGTTCTCGAGTCCGCCAGACAACCTTCTCTTTGCATCCGCGAGAAACTTTCCAGCGCTAAGTCCCCCTGACCGTTTTCAGCGTAGCCGAGAATCAAAGCTGTCCACGAAACAACGTCGTGCTTGGACATCTCGTCGAAGACTCTGCGTGCGTCCACCATGCTGCCACACTTCGTGTACATATCCACCAAGCTGCTCGGGACGAACACATTCGAAGCCACTAATCCATCCTGTGCAGCTCGAGAGTGAATCGCCATCCCCTTCTCTAGAGCTCCGACTTTCGCAAGTTCCGGTTCCTGTTCAAGTTCTTCGTTTCCACTGGCTGGCTCCTTCTCGGCGAGGCAAGTGCATGCCTTGATTGCAACAAGGTAGCTCCGAGCGTTCGGCCAGCACGCTTCAGCTCCAAACATCTCTTGGAACAAATCCAAAGCCACCTCTGGCTCCCCGGTTTCAGTATATCCCCGCATTAGTGCTGTCCACGAAACTACATCCCTCGCAACTATGCTGTCGAAGACCCTGTGCGCATCCACTAAGCTCGCACAGGTAGCGTACATGTCCACTAGAACGTTCTCCACGAAACTGTCACGATGACAACCACGGTTTAGAGCTTGAGAGTGAACTCCCATACCTGTTCTTAGTGCCTGGAACTTCACCACCTTCCCATCGATTTGCGTCGGGCTTTCCTTCTCGGCAAAACCAATGCATGCCTTGAGCACCGCAATGAAAGTCGAGCCATCTGGTGCGCAAGCTTCTCCTGTTCCCATGCGCCGAAACAGATCCACAGCCACCTCTTCCTCATCGTTCTCGGCATAGCCGAGAATCAGTGCGTTCCACGCAACAGAGTTCCGGTACTCCATTCTGTCAAACACCCTCCGAGCCTGGACTAAGTTGCCACATTTCGCAAACATGTCCACCATCGTGCTGGCAACGTATAAGTCGGTGTCGAAGCCGCTGCTCACAGCCTGTGCGTAAATTTCCATCCCTCTCTTCAAGCTCTCGAGCTTGACGAGCCTGCCATCCACTCGCCTCGCTTCCTCTCTCGCCGCCAGGCCACTGCAGGCCTTGAGCGCGGCGATGAAGCTCCGTGAGTCCGGAGGGAAGCCATCTTCACGTAGCATGGCAGCGAAAAGCTCCAGCGCTACGTTCTCCTCGCCGTTTCCTGCATAGCCAAGCATCAGCGCGTTCCAAGAGACCACGGTGCGACGAAGCGCGGCTCTATCGAATACCTCTCTCGCGAGTTCCATGGCTCCACACTTCGCGTACAAATCCACCAGCGTGTTGGCGACGAAGATGTCCGTGTCGAAGCCAGCGCTCGCGGCTCGAGCGTGCAAATCCTTCGCCTTCGCGAGCGTCGCAACCTTGACGATCTTCCCATCGAGCACAGCTTCTCTCGTCGCAAGAGCCGAGCAGGCCTTGAGAGCCGCGACGAAAGCCCGAGAATTCGGCAGAGCTTCCATGCTTTCGAAGAGCTTGAGCGCTTCGTCACCTTTGCCACTCTCGGCATAGCCCAGTATCATCGCCGTCCACGAGACAACGTCGCGAGCCTCCATCTGATCGAAGACTCTCTTCGCTTCCGCGAGGCTGCCACACTTGGAGTACATGTTGACGAGCGCAGTGGCGACGTAGATGTTGGATTCGCGATCGCGGGCCATTTCCGCGTGGATCTTCCTCCCCTTTCTCAAATCCCGGCAGGACTTCAATGCCGCAAGAACAATCGACGTAGCCCTGTCCACCTTGCGATTCCCGGCACCGCTCTTCCCAGAATCCACGCCTCCCGCCTCCACAATCTCTAGCCCTAGCGAAGAACACATAGCTACCGAGGATTTCCAGCGTGCTCCACCCGAGAAATCCCGATATTTCGACGGCAATGCGGCAGGATTCCTTGAGCGGCTGCCATCCAAGCTAGAGGAATGCATTTACCTCGACGATCGTGGTGGCGCGGACGGATTTCTCTCGGAGACATGGAGCAATCCCTAAAACTAGCTCCCAATGGCAGCTCGAATATATATCATGTCCTCCATCTCCCCAATTCTCTTCCTTTATAGTCTTTGGTGCTCTATAGTTTGTATTTCTATAAGGTAGAAAGAGTGTGAGACGAAGAAGTCCTCCAAGGAGCTTGTGAAACGCGGCCGCCATGGCGCTATTCTTCGTGTTGGTGGTGGCGTCTTTCGTTTGATCCCCGTACAAGGTAGTTCTTCCTCGTGGGCTTGCCTAGAAATCGAGCACGCATTCGCCAAGGAGAAAGATTTAGATCTCTCTTCTCTCGCGACTCTTGGTTATTTTTCTCTCTTTGATTTATTCTTTGGTGTTTGTTTTTGACGACGATCGTGAGTCTAGCTTACACAGCCGCTCACTTCCATAGGGCTGGAAATCCAGCGCGGAGCTCTCGAATCCGAGCGATATACATGTAAGTCTCCTCAAACTTTCAGCCATCTCGCGTGATTCAACGTAGAAACTTTTGCATCTAGCAGCGCTTGTGGGGGTTTATATGTCCAGTGATCTGGATTCCTCCTCCATGCAACCGAGCTAGCTCTCGATTCATCACGAGTTCTTGCCTGCAAGTATCTTTCCGTCGCGTTTCTTCCTGACCCTATTGAACGTTTCTTTGGTTTTGCGGTGCCATGGGCGTAGAGATGCTGTAGCGTCAAATGGAGGTCGTCAAGGTTGCCAGGGCGCCTCTAGTGGCATGCCTTACATGCCCTCTTTGCAGCAGCCTCTTGGACGAGGCGACCACCATCTGCGAGTGCCTCCATTCTTGTAAGTTCTTCTTTCTCTCACTCCAGATCTTTTCTTCTTTAACAAGCATCAAAGATTCTTGACGAGCTCTACGAGCTCTCTAAACTTGTGGGTGATGTTACGCAGTTTGCAGGGAGTGTATACATCTCAAGCTCAGCGAGGATGATACACAGTCGTGCCCGATCTGTGATGTCTACCTCGGTGTCGCGCCTCTCGAGAAACTCAGGTTTGCTTTGAGAATATCGGTTTCAGAGTTCCTTGAGATCGAGTGGGTTTGGATGCCGTGTTGAGTTTTTTTGGTGTTTAGACTGGACCGCGAAACAAGCATGTTGTCTCGTGATCTTCATGGGTTTCTTAAGACTGTTTTGATGTACTTCGAGGCTTACCTTTTACTGTTTCGTTTTCACCACGCAGGCCTGACCCTCAACTCGATGAGCTTCGTAACAAGCTATTCTCTCCTGGAGCTCCAAGAGTACGAGTTCCAGGCGATGCAAGTCCGCTGCCACGTCTCAAACGAAAAGAGCGGTCCTTATCTTCTCTTGGTGTATTCTCGGCACCATCGTCATCCAGGCGGAGAAAGCCGAGCCGGCCGCAGCAGCAGCATTACACGAGAGTTAAGCGAGAAATAACAAGCTCGAGCGAAGAGGACGAAGAACACAAATCCGAGAGCAGTGATTCAGGTAAGTTGCTTTTATCACTTTCGTTTTCCATGCATGCTAAGTTTTAATCTTAGAAGTTGCTTGATTGCACAGTAGTCCTTCGGTTTCTTAGTTTCGTGCATTTGCCTGGTAACTCGAGATAAGTTTTCACTCTGCACTCGCTTTGTTCATTGGGAATGCCTGACTGGTAAACTATGGATAAGTACGCTGGTCATTTCGCTTTGTCTCCTGACATCACATTTATAATGATCTTGTAAACTCTTACTTCGTTTTTCTTTGATTTTCCTCCAGGTAACCACGCGAAGAAACCAACTCGCGAAGATAAAGGCAAGTCCGTGGCAGCAGGCTATCACTCTCCGCTCGCATACTTGGCCGAGCTGGCGGACTCGGACCACGCCGGAGGATCGTCCAGGCAGCAAAACCAGCCATCCTCCTCGGTGGGCCGAGATATCAAAAGGCAGGCCACCACCGGACGCTTCTCCAAGCTCTCCCGGCCGACGAAAGGCGTACCTCGACGTCGCGGTGGAACCAGCGCCAACAATGGCGGAGAACTTTACAAGGCTACTCTTCCTCCTCGCTTCCAGGTCGTCACAGCGGACAATGGAGTGTGGTTTGCTCTCAAGCCCGCGGCCAACCAGTTAAGTCGTTTTTCCTTAGAAACTTCTCTGGCTTCGCTAGCTTTTGTCTCAGTCTAGGCCATCTTTCTCTCGATCTCTCTCTGTTTTATTTTTTCTCTTTCGCGTCTGACTTGTCGGATCCACAGGAGCGACGACTCGGTGCTTCCCGCGATCACAACACCCTACGTGAGAATAACGTAAGACGACTTGTGTTTTTTTCAGCTCCACTGACTTCTCTAAAACGCGCAGAGACGGACGACTTCCCGTATCGCTGGTCAAGAAGTATATTGCGACGAAGCTAAACCTCGGCAACGAAACCGACGTAAGCCCCCTTGCTCCTCCTGACTCGTCGCAAAAACCAGCGCAAACTTTCTTCCATCCTTTCTCGTGTTTTACTTTCTCGTTTTTGAGACTTTCTCCAGGTTGAACTGAATTGCCGGGGCCAACCCATCGTCTCCAGCCTGCCAGTCGAGAACGTCCAGCGCATTTGGCTTGCAAAGCCTCGGGACGATCAAACTCCATCCAAGCTCGACACATCTTTGGAGCTCCTCATGACTTTAACGTACAAAAGACCCGGAGGAAACCCCACGAACGCCACCGCGGCCGCGACTTAAGCGCCCTTCTTCTTCCTCTGTGCTTCGGTCCTTGCCATGTTTAATCGTGAGGAACTGGTCGTCCACTGCTCTTCTATATAACTCTCTCTACTTTGTTACCAGCAAAGCAACGCGGTTTAGCTGCCTTCCATGCTCTTGCGAAAGAAAGATAAAACAGACTTCCAAAAGCGACCTTTTGAGAACTCGCTTGACTTCGCCACAGTGATAGGAATCTCTTACACTCTTCCAGACGTAGAGCGCAATAGGGGAGATTGACTTTGGACAGAAAATTGTAGTATCTCTCGGAGGGTCCCAATCAATCTCTGGGAGAGACCATATTTTATTTTTGGTTCTCTGGTAGCTCGGTCTTTCTTCCTAGAGATAAAACTGGCGGTCTTTGTGTGTATGTGTTTGTCTCTAGTACTTGCCTTGGGCTCCAAGGCATCCACCACCCAACACGAAATTCCATGCCAAGGAGCGCTTTTTCGCCGCTAAAAAGACGAGGAAGTTTAGTCTCTACAAACTCTAGAGTCCCAAGAACACAAGATCCGAAACTTTGTTTTCCTTCGAGTTGAATTAGATGAGAATTTGCAAAAGAATCTCTCACAAAATGAGTCATTTTGTACATTTCTCGCGAGACTTTGTCCGCTTGTTTCTTTTTCTTTCTTCTCGGACAATCTGTACAGCGCGAGGAAGACGAGCGTAGAGTCATCTCTGGTGCATGCTTGCTTGCTTGCTCCACTTTGTTGCCTTCCTCCAGCTTGCCTCTACACGAAAGGAGTGTAGATTGTGGGATCAAAAAATGTACCGGAAGTCTCGTTGTCAGCGTCGGCATTCAGAACGAGTGCCTGATATTGTTCCTGGGCGTCTTGCATTTCATGCCCGTGGCTGCTCTGCCGCCGCTTGAGAGATCTCTGTCGACCTTTGGATTCGTCGTGAGAACCGGCGAGGATCTGCAACCAGAGCAAGACTTTGTTAATTGTCAAAGGCCACGACTCGGAGATACGAAAGCCAATTTGAAGGATAGAATCATACGCACCATTGTAGTGACGTCCACACCAGTGGAGGACAACAAGTCGACAAAGTTTTTGAAATTCATCTCGCTCGGCCGGTAATGACCGCTGTGTGCTTCAAGACACTACAGAGACAGCAAGAAATGTTATGGTCAGTCCAAAAGAAGGCGACCTTGTGCACAAGTTTACCTTCAAATCCCCATCCTTCACAGTCAAACGACCAGCAGCTAATGCAGGGCCTCCCGCTAGGAAACTGGAGTGCTGAAATCTACCTTTCTCCTTCTGGAAAAGGAAGAAAGACACAAAAGTTTAAGCTTGGTAGACTGGAATTGGCGAAGTTTTTGTTAGTACCTTTCCCACGTACAGCTTCCTTTTTGTGCTCAAGACGAAGATCATCTGGTCGCCATCCAAGTTTTTCTTGGTCTGCCTGTAGCAAAACTTCCCGTCGACGAACACAACTTCGTATGGCTTTCGCTCCTTCTGCACAAATGGACCAGTTCAAACCCATACGAAAGCAATAAAAAATAACGAAAAGAGAGAGAGAGAGAGAGGAAAAGAGTTCCAATCTTACAGGTCCTAGATAGATAATTTTCTCCTCCATGAGTTTGAACCTGCGACATTTGTCCGGCAGATCCACGCCTCTCCCTTCTCCGTAATCCAGCCAGTAAAAGAATGGCTCCTTTGTGTCACTCTTCTCCCAGAACTTGAAATAAACGTGCAAATTGTGGCCGTAACGATGTGTTGCATCGATCTGCATTGCGCAAACGAAACTTTAGCACCAAAAAACATTCTCTTTCGAGCCTCCGGTGCTTACAGCTTCGAGCCAGTGTTGGATTGCAAGGTTGGTTGCATTGTCATCGTCCTCGGAACGACCTCGCGTAATCTAAAACCAAGGAACCTTCCAGTCAAAACGAGAACTTTTCTTGCTACTTGATAAGAAGGCTCCAAATTCTCACCTTGCCGACTTTCTTCTTTAGCTGCGCCCACCTAGCGGAGACACTCTTTTGCTTCTCGTTGGAGCTGAATTCCATAAGATCTGCTCCTTCTAAGACTTTCCACCTGGATCCATTCGAAGCAAACGCATTGCCGTTAGTTACATAGAGAATTTTTCCAAGGCGAGCAACTTTAGAGCAACTTTAGAGAAGGGAAGTGAAGAATCAAAGTAAAACTCAAGAGGGAATTGCTTACCATTCTGCCGTGAGCGTCTCGGCTGGGCAAGGCGAGGGGTTGAAATCAGTGAGAAAGCTCGTCCTGACAGTGCTGGAAATCGATAGCGCTTCCACAGGAGCTCGTGTCATGTCCACCTTAATTTGATACATGAGCGCGCGAGTGAGACAATTGATAGAAAGCGGAGAGAATAAGATCTTCGGAGTTACCAGAAGCAAGCAGCAGAGACGCGGAATCCACAATGACTGCGGATTTGTGTAGTTTGAAACGACCCAACTCGCGACTCAATCGAAGGGGGGAGTGAGAGCGCCCGATCGAGAACGAGGGTGCACGCAGCAGAGAGGCAAAATCGCGAAGAAAGAATGCGGGGAAAGAATGCGCTGCCAGGCAGCATTTAAAGGCCGCGACCAAAGGGGGCATACGGTCAGCGCCCACACAGCGATGTCGCGCGGCCACACCAGGCGACGGTGGAGATGGACCCCCTGCGATGGTACATCCACCATAGCCATTCGCCCCCTTCTTCGCCCCAGCTACGCGACCTAGCCAACACCAAGCTTCCCCAAATTTCCGTGCCCTGGTCAGCCGCCACGTGGGCCACCCTGGCCACTCCGTACAGTCGCGGCGGGCGGGAGATTACCCGGGGGATATGCCACCCTTTTAAAACTTTGAAAGTTTCTCGTTTCCACGTGTCGGCTTGGCGGGAGGGGTATAGTAGGGCTCTAAGCGCGTCTGGCAGAGATGATCACGGACAAAAGAGAAATTATCCGCTTTGCGGCGCGGCGCTTGATATACCACAACCAGGCATTTTGTACTTACGACTTTAATGCGACTTCATATACGAATGTACCCGTAGAAGTACGAGCAGAGCACCGTATGATTCTCACGCCCTGGCGGTGGTGGTAGCTACAAGACAATGATGGGCATTTTCCATCGAGCTGGCTGCCAGCCTTTTAGGTTACCCTGCCCTGACAAACGCAAGGCATAGTCAACATGCTGTGTAAATCTTTCCGCATGGGTGGCGAGCTGGTCTGGTGATGAGCCCCGAAAAGCCACTGCAGGAGATTTAGGGTTTGGGAGGAACCACCGGCGAGCAAATATTTTAGCAGACAAGCCTGGAAAGATCCCGCGCTTTTGTCTAGTAAACTAGTGGGCTTTGGTGTTGAATAGCTTTAAGACACTGTTTGCGCTCTCGGGAATCCTGGGGTCGGGGCACTTTTGTCTCGCAAAGAAGCGGAAAGCGCGATGATGATGATGAAGAAAATGTTTGCAACCTTTTGGGCAGTATTTTAATTGATTTGTTTTACTACGGGGGTTGACATGCAGGTTTATCACATAAGCGTGTTGACACGACACCCGTTTCTTTTCTGGCGGGTACAACAAGCCATGCAATGCAGCAGCAGCGGGCAGTGCAAGGTCAACCACAGACGCCAACCCGAAATGGGCTGGCGGTCCGGTTGGCCATCTCTCAAAAATCAAAATCCCTCCCACCCATCAACTCCATCAACTCCATCAACTCAGCTCCTTGCTGCACGTATTTCTTTCTTTTTATCTTCGTCAGGTGCTGCACTGCGAGATGAGGGATCGAGATGTGCATGCATGAATCTTGAATTCAATGCGGTGGTGATGGCGGAGGTGGGTAATGCGTCGCGGGCTGGACGACTGATTTGTTTGTTGCTTCGATTGATTCCCATCCTACCCGAGGACCTCAGCCAGCAATCAATTCTTTTTATTTGCCGCAAACGCGTAAACGTTGACAAATCTATTCCGTGCGTGCGTGTGCGGCGACGTCAAACCTGCAGGTCTCTCACTCCCCCCTAATCCTCTCTGGATTTCAATTGATTGTGTAGGGAGGATGCCATGACCGACGACTTGACAAACAAAAGAGAAACTACTAATTTGGATGGAATGCTCGCTAGCTAGGCAAAGACACACACAAGCTTTTCTTTGAACCTTTGCCGCAGCTCATCCTTTTTGAAAGCGAGCTCGCTTCCGGAGGTCATTAATTTCTCCAAATCGCCGCGTTTCCAGGGATTACGCGCTCTCTGTTTTAGGGCCTCCTCATTTGACCTAATTCGTTAGGGCGGCGGGACGAAGAAGAAGAAGATGAAGTGGATCGGGAGGCTGGGGAGGACATTTGGGGCGCCATTCTTGCTCCTGGTGACTTCGATCTACTGGACGCAGGTTTGGATCGCTGTTGCGAGCGTAGGAACTTCGTTTTTCTTAGAGATTTCTACCGCAGGGCTTTAGATCGCTGGCATGGATGGGAGTCTCTTATCAGATGAAGGATCAGCTCAAGCTCAGCCCTTCTGCGTCGCAGTTTGTCATGTCCACTTCGTTTCTTCCGTGGAGCATCAAGCCTCTGTATGGGTAAGAAAGTGAGAAATAGTCAACAAAGAAATGCTAATCTCTCGCTTTGCTTTGCTTTGTGCCAGGATTTTTTCCGATTGCGTTCCCATCTTTGGTCGACGACGCATCCCATACCTGGTCATCTCCAGCGTCCTGTGCTTTGTTCCATGGCTTGTCCTCGGCGCCGTGGAGTGGTCCAGGTCCTCTTACATTTACTTGACCGTTCTCCTGACGATCCAGAATTTTGGAGCAGCTATGGCGGACGTGGTGGTGGATGCCATGGTTGCGGAGATGGCCAGGAAAGAAAGGTCTTCTCTCGTTCATAGTAAAAAAACTAAATTTTTTATCTTTCTTGTTCTTTCTCTTTGGCTTACTGTGGAACTTGTGTGTTGCTCAGGGCTGAGTTCGCAGGAGAGCTCCAGTCCATGTCGTGGCTAGCGATGGCTTTCGGTGGGATTTTGGGGAGTATTGCCGGCGGGGTGGCGTTGGACAGACTTCAAGTAAGTGGGATCTTCATGATGTTTGCGACGTTCCCGCTCGTCCAGCTTCTCTCCTGCGCGTTTCTGGACGACAGGAAGCTGGGAAATAGTGTTGGAGAGATAGCAATAGTCGAGAGCCCCGAGGAAAAGCTCGAGGCCATCGATGGAAAAACAGAAAGTGTAGAAGAACAGGGGATCCAGGACACAAAAAGCAGTTCGCCAAACGATGTGAACGAAGCATTAGATGATCCAGAATCCAAAAGTCTTCGCAGAAGAAGAGGGAGCTTAGACAGGAAAGAAGTTGAAACTGAGGAGGAAATGCGCGAGGAGCAAAACAAGACAAGTCCTACAATAAGAGGCGCTTGTCGCTCTTTGTATCAAGCAGTGAAGCAGCCTTCGGTTTTCCGGTAAGTCTTCCACTTCTATCATACACTTTCCGTTGATCAACCTTTTACAGGCCAATGCTGTGGTTTTTGATATCGCAGTCAGCGGTTCCAAATTTGTCAACGATTATGTTCTACTTCCAGACCAATTCTGTGAAGCTGGACGCGTCTTTTTTGGGAACCAGCCGTGTAGTTGGCTGGGGAGGACTCATGCTAGGCACTTTTCTTTACAACCATTACTTAAAGAGAGTATCACTCAGGAAAATTTTCAGGTAATGCTACGTGATAATCTTCTTTCGCTTATAGTTTTTTCTTCAGGCTGGTTCATATTGGTCTTGCCATTCTTACGTTGAGCGATGTGGTTTTTGTATCTCGCCTCAACACACGCATGGGAATTCCCGACAAAGTTTTCGTTCTGGGGGCATCCGCTGTTGGAGATGCTGTCAATCAGTTCAAGTGAGCTCTTACTTCCTTTTCTACTGCTTCCAGAACTCACTTTGGACTAAACACAACAGGTTTATGCCATTTCTGGTGTTCTCCGGTCAGATATGTCCTCCCGGAATCGAGGGAACTTTGTTTGCACTGTTCATGTCAATCAGTAACTTGGGAGGTACCATAAGTTCTTTTGCAGGTGCAGCTTTGGCGTCTGCATTGCAAATCTCGTCGCAAGAATTTGGCAATTTGTCCCTTGGGATTGTTATTCAGGCTGCATGCACACTTCTTCCCGTTTTACTCTTGGGTTTAATACCTGAAGAGGCAACAGGAATGGCCCTTACACACAATTCTTAAAAGAGAATATGTAAACTAATACAAATAAAAGCATGAATATTGTCAGCATTGGATATCATTCACCTTTATATGTTAAAAATGATCAACATACAAATAATTTGCTACGCATTGCATGTAGCAATTGTAATTGATTAAATAAAAATTTATAATTATAAATAAATTTATAAATACAATATTAATCTTATTGTATATCAACTATTAGATGGTAGAATAAAAAAGAATATATTAGAAAGTGTTTAAGTAAGTTTATAAATTATGAATACAAAATTAATTTAAATGAATAATGACTGTTAAATGGTAAAATATCCTAGAACATTTAAGTATATTTTAGGTATATTTACTCTTACAGGTTTGCTTAAGCAAACCAAAAATAAATTAATAAATTAATAGAAAAAAGTGTCAAACCTTAAACAGCCGAACAATAATTATTAAGCTACTACCAAAATTTATACTATTATTTTTGGAATGACAATAAAACTGTACAATTTTAACTTAAATACGTGAGCAATACATATGTTTTACATTCTTATAAGTTCTTCGAGATGGCTACAGTGACCTCTTGCGGTGGTTTTTCAGCTTGCAATTGCACAACAACACCTTTCGTTGTGTAATAATCAATCACCTGGGATGCCAAAATTAGCAGAAGAACAAAACAAAAAAGATCCTCTTTACAGGCTTGGTTTGCTTGTGAAACCCGTCCAGCCTGCTCTTCAAAACCTCAGCCGTGTCATCCTTCCTTTGAATCAAAGGCTCACCCGTTACCTGCGGAGAGAAACTCGTTCATCCTGCCTAAAAACAAAACCATCTGGTTCTCACATCATCCCGACCAGGAACCTTTGGTGGTGCGAACTTGGTATGGTAAGATCGCCCACTTGACGGATGAACCCAGCGGCCAGTGATTCTCTCCTCGAGAACACTGTCAGGTATCTCAAAGTTCAGGACTTTATCCACTTTGACGCCTTGCTTGGACAGCATTGCATCCAACTGCAAACAACACAGAAACAAAAAGCATCATTCCAAGCAGTGGCAACACAGACTTAGGAATAAAGGATAGAAAAGCTGTGTGCTACACTTAGACACCTGCCAAGCAATCAAATGCTGAGCAAGCAACACGGAAGCACTTCTCTCTAGCACAAGCATAGGGCAATATTCGTCATGAGGATCTCAGACAAGCCCGGGGTAGGCTATGTGCATACTTACAGGATAAAAAGAAAGAAAGAGGAAAAGTACCTTCTCAGCTTGAGCTACAGTCCGCGGAAAACCATCCAGTATGAAGCCTTTCTTGCACGAAGGCTTTTGTATAGCCTCGTCAATGATACCAATCACAAGATCATCCGAGACAAGTTGTCCCTGGAAGAAAGAAAAAACCGTCGATCAAAGTATGAACAAGAGAAAGCTCGAAGAAGAAAGATTTACCATCCTTTAGTTCACAGAGAGTGGCGGCCATTTAACCTTTTCCATTGTCTGCTTGGCCATCAAGCCCAAGGGCGTCTGCGCAGCCACGGCGGCCCGGAGCATATCGCCAGTGGCCAAGTGACACAAGCAATGCTGCTCCTTGAGGATGGGAGATTGTGTGCCCTTGCCACATCCCGGCGGCCCTGAGAAAGCAAGAGCTCACTGCGAGGATTTCTCCAAGGAACATGAAAGAGAAGGGAGATTACCAACAAGAATGAGGCGCTTCTGCGATTTAGGCATGCATTTGAGGCGGCGGAGGAGCTCCGAGAAGAGATCGGTGGCCGCGACATCGCTCAGATCTGCCATGGCGGCCGCCGCGCCCTAGACCATCTCAAACCTAAAAGAGATTTAACCTAGAAATTTGTAAATGGGGGGAGAGGAGGGCGCGTCCCGGATCGTTGTGAGTGATTTTGTGGCGCCTTTGCTGGAAATTTTTCGCGATTGATCTTGTTAGCTGCCAGGCGATGTGGTGTTTGGTCTCGCAGCTCAGGCGCAAAACAAGGTGCTGCGATTGGGAAGCGGCCTTTCTCAGGTTTCTTTCTTTTATCTCTCTTTGTCCTTGTTTGAAAGAGCGAGCATTTCTTGTCTAGGATGCTGATCGCGTTGTAGCTATCAAGGCCGGGAGATTGAATCACGCAAAATCCAAACTTTGGGTGGAGGGATCACAGAAGCGAGTAAATTTCGCTCTTTTTGCATTTTTTGTTTGAGCAAAGCTTGATCTTTATCTTTTTCTTTCTCTTGGTTTGTATAGTACATTCCCAGTGCCGAGGATTCTGTGATTGGAATTGTTATCGATCGTCGCGCCGAGGTTTGATGATTGCTCAAGTGATTGCTCAAGTGATTTTCATTCGTCACATACAGGAGTTTTTGGTGGATTTGAATGCTCCAGTTCTTGGGCTTCTTCCTATACTCTCTTTCGAGGGTGCTACGCGGAAGAACATTCCAAACCTCAAGGCAAGTTTTTTGGATTTGTGGTGCGGTGACGAGAACTCTATACTCACAGGAAGGGGCTGTGGTCTATGGAAGAGTGGTGAAAGCCCATCGCGATATCAGTCCCGCGCTCTCGTGTTTGGATGGTATGCTTCTTCCAGCATTGGTCTTTTAGTAAACATGCTTGATCTTTTGCAGCTTCTGGAAAAGGCTCTGGTTACGGCCCACTGAAAGAAGGATACCTGTTTGAGTGCTCGACCGGACTCGCAAGATCGTAAGTTTTTCCTCGATAGTTTTCAGGCGATCCTGATTCTCTCTCTTTCAGGCTCTTGGGTACGCCGACTTATCCGGTGCTCGAAGCTCTTGGCAAAAGCTTGGCTTTTGAGATCGCCGTTGGTGTAAATGGTCGCGTTTGGGTACGTCGGGAACTTGTTTGTCTTGGATTCGTGAGCGAGTGTGAGATTTTGTAGGTGAAATCCGATGCTCCAGCCACCACCGTACTCGTCTCCAATGCGATCATCAACTCCGAGTGCTTGAGCGCAGCGCAACAACACATACTTGTCCAGAAGCTTTTGCAAGCAGCGAAGTGATCTCTAAACTCCTGGGCTTAAATTTTTTTTGTCTAATCGATTCCAGGAGATTTCTATCATAGTATGCAAGTCTACGTCGCGTCAATGATGTTGTTCTTGGGCGTTTCGTCTCACATTAGTAACCAGGGATAGCTTGTGACCGCTGGGGTCAAATCAATCTACTCCGTCCTTTTGTCACGTTTTATGCGTCAGTTACAAGAGATTCGGACACAAAGGAGCCCTAACAGGATATTCGTATCTTGAGTGACGTAAGGGAGAAAAGGAAAAGAAAGGGAATAAAGAGAAATGCGAGAGCAAGATAGGGTTTTTGATCGTCCCGTGCTAGATGCCGCGACGCCACTTGCGCTTTAGCAATCCGTGACGATGAAGACAAGGATGGAGCAGGGGGAATGTGGCGGAGATTCCAGCGCACTGGCGATTCATAAGCTGCGCGGCGTTGAATCGGCGAATTTCTTCGCGCTCCAGGCGAGGCGCGCGGATGCGGTGGGAAATCTGGCGCTGCTGGCGGCATTTCTCTCCGTGTGAGGAAATATTTCGGGCGATGGGAGCAGTGGTATTCAGGTTAGCTCTCTTGCTGGTTGTGGTGCTCGGGAGCTTGTCCGATCTCGCCGAATGGCCAGCGTCGGTGAAGATTGGCACACTTCTGGCTCTCAATTCCACCGCCGGGCACACAGGCATGGTGGCTATACAAATGGCTGTGGACGATATCAACATCAGGAATTCGAGCTTCCTCAATGGGACGAAGCTCGAGATCATTACTGCGAATTCGAATTGCAGCGCATTCCAGGGCGCTGCCTCAGGTAGGAATTTCCTTTATCGATTTGTCGTGCTTGTTCACTATTCAATCGTGTGTCTGTGGTCCTTTCTGTTTTTTCCAGCGATGCGATTGTTCGAACAAAACGTGGTTGCGATTGCTGGGCCTCAGGCGTCAGTGGTGGCCCATTTCGTCGCACACATGGCAGCAGCGACGCAGGTCCCGCTAGTGTCAGCGTCTGCCACCGATCCAACCTTGTCCGAGTATCAGTTTCCCTTTTTCCTCCGGCTCGCGCGCAGTGATCGTATGCAAATGGAAGCAGTGGCTGGAATCATCAGCGTCTACGGGTGGCGAGAAGTTGTGGCCATTTACAGCGACGACGACTTTGGGACAAATGGTGTTGACACGCTGGGTGACGCTCTTGTTGGTTTCGGGGCCAGCATCGTCTTCAAGGCCGCGCTGGATCCAGCTATAGACAGGACAGGGATTAGCAAGATTCTCGCGGGACTGGCTCAGATGGGTACCAGGATATTTGTAGTTCATCTTCAGCCTGCCATGGGGTTGACGCTGTTTAGCGAGGCCTACTTGCTGAGGATGCTGGACAAAGGTTACGTCTGGATTGCTACCGAAGCGATCATATCGACTTTAGACACCATCTACCTAGAAAGCAATTATGTTCAAGCAACGCAAGGGGTGATTGGAACTCGTAGCTACGTGCCAAAGTCTCCTCAGCTTGAGGCGTTTGCGACCAGGTGGAAAAAGATAGCGGAGGAGGACGGCAGTGGTCTCATTTATTCGCAGTACAATGCGTATGATCTGTATGCTTATGACAGCATCTGGATGATCGCATATGCGGTGAGAAAGTTTCTCCTCAACCGGGGGAACTTTAGCTTTGTGTCGCCGACAGGTTTCCAGGCAAATTCAGGTGGAGGCTCGGACTTGGCAAAGCTCAAGATTCTGCTGGAGGGGCAGGCCTTGTTGCAAGACTTCTTGGAGACGAGTTTTGAAGGGGTTTCGGGATTAGTGCAGCTTGATAAGAGAGGCGATCCTTCGGACTCAGCTTTTCAAATCGTCAATATGGTGGGAAAAGGATTGAGAACAGTGGGGTACTGGACGAATGCTACAGGCTGTTCGACTGTTGAACCAGGCACCAACGGGAGCATTAAAAGCGATGAACAGAAACTTGAGGACGTCATATGGCCTGGTGGTGCCGTGCGTGTTCCTCGGGGCTGGATGGTTCCAAAGAATGGACGGCCTCTGGTGATCGGGGTCCCGAACAAGCAAGGATACAAGGAATTTGTAGATACAGCACTTGGACCCGACAATGCGACAGTCTTTCATGGTTTCTGCATCGATGTTTTTCAGGCAGCGCTCTCGTATCTTCCTTACACTGTTCCTTATTCGTTTCAGCTGTATGGAAACGGGACATCGACACCGAGCTACGACGAGCTCGTTCAGAAAGTTGTCAACAAGGTGTTTTCTTTTTTTATCTCGCAAATCTACTCACAAATCGAATGGTGCAGGAATATGACGCAGTTGTGGGAGATATAACGATTACAACCAAGCGTGCAAAGATTGTAGACTTTACACAACCATATACTACCTCGGGCCTGGTTGTCGTCGTTCCTCTCAAGAAAGGGGCCACAAACCATGCTTGGGCTTTTATGCGACCGTTTACTCCAGCGATGTGGTTTACAACGGGTGCATTTTTCTTGTTCACTGGGGTTGTTATGTGGCTGTTGGAACACAAGAAAAACCGTGACTTCCGTGGTCGACCGAAGAAACAAGTTGTAACAACACTCTGGTAACGTTTTTTCAAGCTTGTTTGTTCTGTCGTAGCTATAACTCGGTTGTTTTTACTCCGCAGGTTTAGCTTTTCCACGTTGTTTTTCGCTCAAAGTAAGTCAGTTTTCGTGCTTTATATCTCATGTAGGATCTTGAAACAGCAGGCTTGCATTTTTGCAGGAGAGGATGTAAAGAGCACCCTTGGACGGGCCGTGCTTATTATCTGGTTGTTTGTTGTTCTCATTATCAACTCGAGCTACACTGCCAGTCTCACATCCATTCTTACAGTTCAGCAACTGATGCCGACAATTCAAAACATAGCCGGCTTGGTGGCGAGTAATGTACCTATAGGATACCAAGCAGGATCATTCGTCGAAGAGTATTTGCTGCAACTCAACGTCCCGAGGGACAGGCTAGTCCCTCTCGATTCTTTATCAGCGTACACCGCAGCTCTCCAGAAAGGTCCAAAGTCAGGTGGCGTGGGAGCTATAGTGGACGAACTGCCTTACGTGCAGCTTTTTTTGTCGTCAGAGTGCGATTTCACAATTGCCGGGCAGCAGTTTACGAAGAGCGGCTGGGGATTTGTAAGTGTTTTTGGTAAAGCTTTTCGGTTTCATCGTTGACTGGATTTTCCTTCAGGCATTCCAAAAAGGATCGCAGCTGGCCATCGACATGTCAACCGCGATACTCACACTCGCCGAAAACGGCGAGCTGCAACGCATCCACGATACCTGGCTCAACGGATACGACTGCGGCTCACAGAAGGTGCAAATCGACTCCAACGAGCTGGGACTGGGGACGTTTTGGGGGCTCTTCCTGATAACAGGCACGGCTTCCATCATCTGCCTGTTCGTTTACTACACCAAGATGCTGCTACGCTACCGCAGAATTCTCAAAGCCCAGAAGGAGGAGTGCTCGTCGCCAGACAACAGCATACAGGATAACTCCCGGCGCTCCTCGAGCTTCCTCAGGTCCTTCGTCACTTACGTGGAGGAGTCCGAGGTTCCAAAGAAGCATCGAAACTCTTCGCTCAAGAAGAAAGAGGGAGGAGGCACGGGAAGCTCGAGACGAGAGGAGGACAGGAGCCCGGATACCAATAGCGGCTGTAGCTCCTCTGAGGCAGCGTAGAGATTATTTATATGAGCTCCTGGGACGAGATCTTCGCCGCTTAAACTGTATACTCGATTGGTAAGCTGTCGATTTTGGCATCTTGGTTTTAATCTTCGTTCTTTCCAGGCTTGACGATTATATGAGAAATGAAATTCTCATTGGACCACTACACGACTTTTTTACTGATATATCTCAAAATGCGAATATGCGATCCTCCTCTTTTTTTTGATGGAGCATATCCTTTCCTTTATATTTTTTGTTAACCTAGGGGAGATTAAATTTCACGTGACGTTTGTTTGCTTGTGGGAGCCAAGCAGAGCGCTCGATGGCGCCCGCCAGCGCCCACGCGTTCCAAAAGAAGGTGATCATCGATACAGATCCGGGCATAGGTAGGCGTAGTTCTTGCTGCCGGGGCTTTTCTCTTTGGATTTGCATTGCTTGGGGGTCGATTCTCCCTCTTTTCTTCTTGATCCTTTCTAATCGATTCTTCCTTTGCTTCTTGCAGACGATGCAATGGCGATTTTGCTGGCCTTTCAGTCGCCAGAGCTCGATGTCATTGGCCTCACGACGACGTTTGGGAATGTATCAACGTCAATGGCAACTCAAAACGCTTTGCATCTGGTAAAAAAATTCTTCCTTTTCGTTTTCCTTTTCTGCCTCGCAAAGGTTTCGGGAGCTGAGGTTCTTGTTCTAGTGCGAACTTGCAGGTAGGGAGGACATTCCTGTTGCTCAAGGGCTACACAAATCTCTCAAGGTTCGTTTTTTCTTTTGTGTGTGTGTTTTTAAGTTTCGGGCTCCATCTGGTTTTTATTTCCTTCAATTTGACAGGGTGATACGAAAGAGCACGCTGTTGATTTTATTCATGGAAAAGATGGATTGGGGAACACAAATCCCCCGGCTCCAAAGGGGAAACCAATTGATATGACTGCTTCCGAGTTTTTCATTTCTAAAGTGAAAGAGTTCCCTGGAGAAGTGACAATCATAGCTCTTGGCCCTCTGACAAATCTCGGCAAAGTACGAAGTTTTGGATTTTCGTTTGTGCTTTTGACACTACTTGTGTCCAAAACATAGGCTGTGGAGATGGATCCATCATTTGCTAAACTTGTAGGCGAGATCGTGATCCTTGGTGGTGCTTTTGCTGTGAACGGGAACGTTAACCCCGCTGCAGAGGCAAATGTAAGTTTTGCTGTCCCCGGTTTCCGGTTCTTGTTAAAAAAAGTGATTTTGGATGAAGGTTTTAGGAGATCCACTGGCCGCGGATATAGTCCTTACATGCGGAGCCAACACGAAAATAATCGGCATCAACATAACGCATCAAGTCACAATGACAGGTACCTTGGTCTTTTATTCTCGTTTTTGTCTTTGCTCTAACTTCGCAAGTTCTAGGCCCACAAATAGAGGAGCTCAGGAGAAGCGACAGCAAGTATGGTCGATATCTATGCGATGTAATTATGTGCTACCTTAACTATCACAGGGATTACTACAACATTGACGGTGAGAAAAAAAGAAGAGAAGCTTTCTTTCTCTGTGCCGAGCTTTTGATGAGTTTTCTCTCTATTGGCAGCGATTTATCTTCACGATCCCGCAACAGTAATCGCGGCAATCGATCCATCGCTCTTTACTTACGCAGAAGGTGTCGTAAGAGTCCAGCAGGAGGGAATTTGCCGTGGGCTTACCTTGTTTAACAACACAAGGAAGAAGTAAGTTCTCGCCATTTTTTTTTCCTTCGTGTTCCTGGATGGAACTATAGAAATTTTCTTTCGTGATTTGTAGATGGGCAGTACCTACAGCGTGGTGTAACAAGCCGCCGGTGAAAGTAGCAGTGACTGTGGACGCCGATAAGCTCGTAGTTTTACTAAAGGAACGCCTCATGGCTTCGTGAATGGATATCTCTTTCCTTTGTGGATCGCGTTTCTCCACGTTCAAAAATGAGAATATTCTTCACTTGCTTGGGAATATCCGAGATTTATAGTTTGGAGCTCCATACATGCGCAATGGCGATGGCGCCTTCCGTGGCGCTCACACCCTATCTCGTGCCATGGCCGCGGCGCCACTGCGGCGCGGGTGATTTTCGCCCAGCATTGGCGTTCGCACCGGAAATCCGCGGGCGGCGCGATGCATCGAGGCGATGGCGTGGAAGCAATGGAGGTAATCGATCGTGTTCTTGCGCTAGGGCGGTGGAGAAATCTCGGCAAGGCGCTGTGCTGCAAGAAGAAGCGCCGCCAGTTCGTGGTGTGCTGTTCGATATGGATGGAGTGCTGTGCGATAGCGAGGAGAGATCGCGTGACGCAGCTGTGGATGTTTTCGCTGGAATGGGCGTGACTGTCAGGCCGGAGGATTTCATTCCATTCATGGGAACTGGTAAGTTTTCCCCCGGCTTGCTTTTGATCGAAAGAAATCTTTCTTGGTTTCCATCCTTTCCAGGCGAAGCAAATTTTTTGGGAGGTGTTGCTGGATTGTACCAGGTCCCAGGTTTTGATCCCATTCAAGCCAAAGAAAAGTTCTTTGAAGTCTACATCCAAAAGGTGAAAATCGTGCTCTACAGGAAAGCGAAAAAAAAAAGAGTAACGAGTGAATGATCTTTACGACAGTACGCAAAGCCGGACTCTGGCTTGGGATATCCCGGAGCACTAGAGCTCATCATGGAAGTAAGCTCATGGATATTAAAAGTTTGTCTTCTAATCACCTCAACACTCAGTGCAAACGTGCTGGTCTCAAAGTCGCCGTTGCATCTAGTGCGGATCGAATCAAAGTTGACGCAAATCTTTCGGCAGCAGGCTTACCACAAACCAAGTATTTACTGTTTTTTTTTTTAATGTGCTGGTGTTTCAGCAACGTGTTTTTCCTGGCAGTTTTGATGCCATTGTCTCAGCGGACGTTTTCGAGAGGCTAAAGCCTGCGCCGGACATTTTTCTGGCCGCAGCGAAAGCACTTGGCCTTCCTCCATCAGAGGTAAGGCATGATTAAATTCCGGGTCCTTTTTAACTGTGTGTCGTCCAGTGTGTTGTTGTAGAAGACGCACTTGCTGGCGTGCAAGCTGCTCGAGCAGCCGGAATGAGGTGCATTGCTGTATCCACAACTCTCTCCGAAGAAAGTTTGGCCAAGGCGAATCCAACACTTACCAGAATGAATATTGCCAATATCACACTTTCTGATATACTGAACTTACAAGACAAAGGTACGATGGCTTAGATAATTTTTTCTTTCCATTTTTTTTTCTTGGTGAGCAAAGCTCTTGTTCTTGTTTTTCCTTCAATAAATTCAATGGCTCTTTTAAGAAAGTGTCCAGGATCTGTGTTGTTGATGCAGATGTTAAAGAAGCGGCGCCTGGTGTAACCGGCATGGACTGGATCTACTCTATTTTAGATACTGAAGTATCTCTTCCTTTCGGGTATTTCTCTCTTTGTTAAGATTTGGCAAAAAACTGTTGCTTTGCATGCTGTTTTACAGCACTAGCATCACTAGGCGAGACATTATCAGGCTTGGAAGCTTTAGTCTAGGAACATCCTGTTTGGCTTTTGCTGCAACACGTTGGAAGGTATACACTCCATTTCTCGTTCTTTATACTAACTAAGATACCAACAGGCCATGACATATGGTTCTCCTATGGCACTTTTGAATGCTTTTCTGGGTGCTGATGATATACCACTCGCTATTGGCTCTGGTAAAGGTTGCTGCCAGTTTTATTTGGTAGTCTCCTGCTTATGGTTGTTTTTGTTTCACTAGAACTGGACTCTGGGAACCGTATCGACTCGTTCAAGAGCTACATATCGAATCTTGAAGCAAAGAAAGTGACGTGTTTACTTATGCTAGATGTCGTTTCGAAACAGTTTTGGTGCTTACAGAAGTGGCGGACAGAAAGTCATGGAATTTCCCCCAGGTCTTCAGTGGTTGAACACAGCAGCACCTCTTCGTTTTAAAGGGGTATGCATGACTGGATGTGTGTTTAAAATGGCTAAGCTTGTTAGTTTGACAGGCCTTGCACGGAAAGGTGGTTATTCTGGACTTCTGGACATACTGTTGTATTAACTGTATGCATGTACTCCCCGATCTGGCATACCTTGAACAAAAGTATAAAGATCAACCGGTGAGTACTTACGTTTTTTTTTCTTGTTATATGAAAATCTTTTGCAGCTCACAGTTGTTGGTGTACACTCTGCCAAATTCGACAATGAGAAAGACACAGAGGCGATTCGAAATGCAGTGCTTCGGTACAATGTGACGCATCCGGTAAGCCCATTCTATTCGGGATAGCGGAGTTGACTCACAAAGTCACAGGTAGTGAACGACGGTGATATGAATCTATGGCGCAAACTCGGAGTTAGCTCTTGGCCAACCTTCGTGGTTGTCAGTCCCAATGGGAAAGTGATAGCGAGGCTTGCTGGAGAAGGTCATCGAAAGGTATTATTTCGTCTTCGCTTTCCAAGATTTTCTTACGTCTGCCATAGGACTTGGACAATCTAGTGGATGCTGCACTGCAATATTATGGAGAGAAGAAACTTTTGAACGCTCAACCTATTCCATTACAGCTCGAGAAAAGCAAAAGTGCGCGAATTCTGACTACTCCATTGAGCTTTCCTGGAAAGCTGGCCACGGACCTGGCAAATGGTCGTCTTTTCATTTCTGATAGCAATCACAATCGGATAGTAAGTGCTTTTTATTTGTATCTACACGAATGACAATGTTTTTTTGAAGGTTGTCACCGATTTGAATGGAAATTATATTCTACAAGTTGGCTCTGGATCAGAAGGCTTAACCGATGGATCATTCTCCTTAGCATCATTTAATCGACCACAGGTGCAGTAGTTTTAAGACTGTTGGATCTTTCTTATGGCCGTTCTACAGGGTGTAGCGTATGATACTGAAAAGAACATCCTGTACGTGGCAGATACCGAAAATCATGCTCTCAGGTAATATAGTTTGATATCTGACTTCAGTAACATTTCTTATGCAATTACAGGGAAGTTGATTTTGTGAAAGAGACAGTAAGAACTTTGGCTGGTACTGGAGAAAGAGGCTTTGACTACAGGGGTGGAAAAGCAGGCCAGTCTCAGGTACATTCATACATCATATGGATTCAGTTACCATTTCTCTCTCTTTCATTTAGCCGCTCAATTCACCATGGGACCTTTGCTTGCATCCTGATGGGATGCTTTACATAGCAATGGCGGGGGAGCATCAAATATGGGAATTTAATAGGAGCAATGGTGTTGCGAAAGTGTTTAGCGGGGATGGATACGAGCGTAACCTCAATGGCTCAAAGTAAGTAGTTTTCAACATGTTAGTATGATTTCTATATGATTTCTATGTGTCAGGGGGTCAAACTCGTCGTACGCGCAGCCGTCGGGCCTGTCCTTATCTCCTGGTGGGTTTCTTTTCTCGCCCAGCAATCTCGTCTCAAGTTGTAACGTGGCTTCAGCTTTTCTGAGCTGGTTGGGGCAGATATGGACCACTTATATATTGCCGACAGCGAAAGTAGTTCTGTGAGATCCGTAAACTTGAAGACGGGAGGCTCGCAATGGCTTTCGGGAGGCGATCCCACATTTCCAGAGAACTTGTTTCAGGTATGTTTTGTTTTATGCATCGCCAGAGCTGCATCGTTTCAGCCGTCGACGTTAGTTCGGAGATAAGGATGGCCCAGCGTCTCAAGCACTATTCCAACACCCTCTGGGCATACTCTCGAGCGCAAACGGTGCAATTTACGTGGCGGATTCTTACAATCACAAGGTCAGAGTCATTTCCAAAACGACAACGTTAACATGCTTTTGATATTGCAGATTAAACTGATGGATTTAGCCAGCAAAACAGTGCGTACAGTAGCAGGGACTGGTGTCGCTGGCTACGAAGATGGGAAAAGCGTCAAAGCTCAGGTACCACAGCTGCTGTTCCAATTCGCTGATAGTTATTTCCTTCTCGTTCTCAGTTTTCAGAGCCAGCCGGTCTCGCCTTGGGCCCCAATGGTAAGAACTTAAAGCACGTTACATCCCCTTAGTACTCACAAAGTCTGCTTGAACAGGCAGCTTATTTGTAGCCGATACAAACAACAACTTGATTCGTCTACTCAAGCCCGGGGCGGACGACAACGCTATACAAGTCACTACGTTGGAGCTGAAAGGAGTCGAGCCTCCAAGACCATTGGAGAAGTCTCCTCGTCGGCTGAGAAGACGGCCTTCCTCTGACATGGAAGTCGTTCGTCTCCAGGCTGTTCCCGGTCTCAGAGGAGACTTGCAACTGCAAATAGATTTGCCTCCTGAATATCACTTCAGCAAGGTTCGTGTTCCAAGCTAAAGCATTGTAATACTTATTATGTTTGTTACAAACAGGAAGCAACCAGCAAGTACGAAGTTGATGTGGAACCTGATGACTCCGTGGACGTAAAGCCAGATAAAGGCACTTTTCAGGATGGTCGGGCGAGCTTAAGTTTCGAGAGAAGCAAACCGACGAGTTCCTTATTACGAATAATCTCCAAGGTTTGCTCTTTTCTATGGCAGCAATGCGGCCTTCCGAACTCTCACTTTTGCTCGTTCCTTCCCATAGGTGTACTATTGCGAAGAGGAGAAAGTTTGCCTGTACAAAGGGATTGTAGTGGAGGTTCCACTCGAGGAAAGCAACGGTGGCACCGAAAACTCGTCAAGCATACCAGTCAAGCTCACTGTTACTCCACCACAGCAGCAGCCTTGAAAGGAAAGAAGATTCTGGCGATTTATCTCATGTCAGGAATACAAAAAGGAGAGTATCTCCGCCTAGCCCATGGCCTGGAGTGCCTGCTGGAACATCGTCTCGGCCGCGACTTGACGCTGGATCGTCGGGTGATCCGGCTGCAATGACTTGAGTTGGCTACCAAACAACAAAACAAAACTTAGCAAAACGTTGGAGCAAACGGAGTGTCAAAGTTACCTCATATGGCGAGTGGTGGATTTTCCGAGATGGAGGCAGCAGACAATAAGGTTGGCGAGAGTGTCAGCGTCCTTGTTATCCTGGAGCAAGGGTGTTTGATCAATCGATAATAAAAACAAAGCTTTGAAAACTTTGTACCTTGAGGAGAGCGTCTAGAAGGAGCTGCTCGGCGTCATCAAACTGGCCCATATGCATGTGGCAAACGGCCCTTCCATTCATGAGCGGTACCGTCCACGAGTACTTCTCGGAGAGCTCCTGGAATATGTAAGAGGCTTCTTGAATCTTGGAGCCTCCCTGTCCAGGCCAAAAACACGATTGTTATAGAAACTATACGAAGATCTTGACAGGAGAAAACTCACGAGCGCTAGATTGACCCACGCATTGGCCAGCTGCGTGAGAGTGTGGTCCTCGTCGATTCGCTGCATGACTTTTAGCTGCTGCTCGGCTCGCTCGGGTCTATTCAGCTTTAAGTACATGTGAATGTTTAGCGCACATCTGGAAAAAAGGGTCTCTCGATCAGAAGAGAAGAAAATGAAAAGAGAAACAAAGCAAAGACAAAAGTTTTCTCCAACGAAAGAAGAGAAAAAGAAAAAGAAAAAATTTAACTTACAGCTCGAGCGTCTCTCCAGCATGAGTATACTTGAGCGCTTCATTGTAGTCTTGTTCGTGAGCATGGATGATGCCCGCTATCAGAAGCACGTCGTTGTTGGAAGCAACCAGTGGATCCGCTAACAAGTCCTTGAGAGACGATTTTGCCGACTCCTGGAACAACAACACTGCTACTTTGTTTCTTTCGAAATCCCTTGTTTACCTTTTCTCCCAGGAAGTATGTAGCAAGCAGCCTCACAGCTTCCAGGGCGCTGGTCGAGCTCTTGATCTCATCGATAACAATCTGCAATCCACTCGAATTGTGTGATCTTCTAGTGCGAGAAGAGAGAGATTCGGTACCTGGTAGAGCCCGCAGGAAATGTACGATCTGTAGACGAAGTAGTCGCGCTCGGCAGCCTCCTGATCGGACAATCCCTTGAGCTTGCCGGCGGCATTGATCGCCTCCTGGTACGCGCCCAGGAAGAAATTGTTCTTGACGAAGAAGAGCGCCATGGAGTGAGTAAGATCTAGGGTTCTTGCCAGATACGAGGTATATTCTTAAAGATTAGCTTAGTGTTTAAATGTGTGTTAATTAATCTTAAACGTTGCTACCAGTTAAGTGATGCTAGGAAAGAGCGAATGTATTCGGCAGCGATCTCGGGTCGATCGTCGTGAGGGCAGTGACCGACACCTTCGAGCGCGTAGAATTTCACGTCGTTTCTCTTCTTCTCCAAATCCACAAAGAACTTTGCCACCTGAATCGATCCAGAGAAAAAAACTATGAGGATTTTGGCGACCAAGAGCTCAAAAAATCTGACTTACGGGCCCGTTCGCTGGGGTCCAAGCATCTCGATCACCCCACAGGACAAGAACGGGGATCTCCACTTCGGACATAAGTTTCTCTGGCCTCGACCCTGGAAAAAAAAAATCAAATAACTAAACCGAGATTTGTTTAGTTACCTGGATTGTTTCCAGTGAAGACTTTGACAAAGACGTCCACGGCCCCTTCGTCGGTTGACGGATGATAGAGAATATCGACCTGTAAAGCAAAAGCTTTGTGGAAGAAAGAGCAACATGGATGGAAATACCAGCTGATCTGTGACAGACTCCTTGTTGCAATAAGCTTGTTGAGTGAGTATCTTTCTGATGTTGTCCTTGCTTCGAAATCTATAAGCGCTTGACTAATGAAACTATATGTCCGAGAAAAGCACTGACCTGTTGAATAGAAGGTTTGCGAAGCGCGGTTGTGCGAGTATGTATTCAACACCTACGAACACGGGTGACAGCAGCTGCAATAAAAAACCATCTTGAGTTAAGCCTTTCCTGTTCATTGCCCCGGCACAATTCAGCAGCACCAGTCCACTACGACAACGAAAAGTCCATTCTTAAAAGCGACATTAGTGGGAATCGGCTTTCTTACCGAACAGTATTCTTTCCACCTTTAACGGCAGCTGTGAGTGCTGAGAGCGAGCCAATGGAGTTTCCAACCAGCACAGCTCCGTTTTCCGTGAACTCCTGCGCAAAGTCTATCCAAGACAATGTCGGGAGGCCTTAACAAAACTGGAAGAAACTCACCGCAGACCAGTTCCGCCCACAAATCCGGGCTGTAGTCAGCCTGCTTTGGCTTTTCTGAGTCACCAAAGCCTAAGAGGTCGATCGCGTAGACTTTATTGTTTTCCGCTAGATACGATAGCAGATTTCCAAAGTGCCCGGCATTTCCACCTTTAGAGAAACGTAAAGACACAAGCAAATCAAACTTACAACACATTGATTCTGGCGCTTACCGAATCCATGAACCAGAATGATCGGATTTCCACACCCAGCCACTCCAAAGTTGATCTTGTAATCCCTTGATATGAAAAAAAAACTTTCGTCATACAGCGAACGAAAACACAAGGCTTGTTGCTTACCTCCATTTCCAGGAGTTGTTCTTATATGGCAAAACCAGCAACTTGGAGCTGTCAAGCGCTTGAATGGCGCTCGTAACACTCCTTAGTGTAGCATCGCTTTGAAGCTCAAGCTGGACTGTGACATAGCCTCCTCTTGGTCCTCCCTGGACCAGCTCTCCAATCCAGCAAACATCAATCACTCCAGCCACACCCTTGATGTCTTGCTTCAGTCTGAGAAAGAAGAACTCATCCAAGTTAAGTTGAACACAAAGAAATATTTTACCTTTCCAACTCTTCCTCCAAAGTAACTCCATGAATCCTGTCCATAGTTCCAAAAGTATAAGAAAATCGATGCTAGCAGTCGCAAGAAAAATCATACGTGATAGAAAATGTCCGCGGAAGCGCTGGAAATCCATCCACGGGTTGCAAGATCTGCGGATCAATCTTAATCTTCCCTGGCAACCGTTTTGATCGTGAAAACCACGAAAAGAAAAAGAATTCATACAAAAAGAATCGAGAACCTGGCGCTGGTGCTTCTCGCGCAATGTCTCCAGCGCTCCTATCGATCGTAGCATTAGCAATCAAACGCAGCCTTCGCTGCCTCGTCTAGAATCCCGCTGGAATCAGGTCATCACAATCCTGCTGCTAAAACGACCGCGCAATCGATCACATACCTGGATCCCGATCGCCCGGCAAGACGATCTCGCCGAGAATTCCCTCGCCGCGGCAGCGATCGCTCCAGCGCCACCGACATTGCGCAGGCACTCGGGCGCCAAGGCCATGGAAATATCCATGGCTTCCATTTTCTTGCGACGGCCACACGTCAGTGACGCGTCGCGCCCGTCATAGTAACTCTTATAACCTAATTTGGGGGACACTTAAAAATCTATTTTTCCTGCGCAGTGGCAAAACTTTCGATCGATCAGTGCGATCATCGACGAGGGCGAGGGATGAGAAAGAAGGCGCTGTGAGAGAGCTCGAAAGAGAATCCAAGGTAGGATGTGGCGCTGGAGAAGCGGCGGTGTTGCGCAGCCATGGCGCGGTCGTGAATGCTGTCTCGGAGTCTAGATCTTGCTCTCGACGGCGCTCCGGGAGCTGGGAGAAGCATCCGCTGCTGGAATTTCGCTCGAGGATCCCGGGGTTTAGGTTTTTCGACCCTAGGAGCTGCGATTATGGTGCCACTGGAGTCGGATTCCAATGGATGGGAATGAGCTGGGGTTTCATCCGCAGCTAAGAGCTGCAAGCAAGGAAGAGCTACTGGAAGAGGGCTAGAAGGGATTGTTTGCTAGAGTCTCCTCCACAGCGCACCAATGGGGTGTATCTGCGCAAAGTCGTCCTCCACCTCGAGATCGCAGGAGAGTCCCAAGGCCAAATCCTACTCGCGGCCACAGCTGCGGCATTTCAATGGATCTGCGAGGATCGAGACGCTCGAGGGGCTCAACGGGATCGTGGAAAAGGACAGGGAGAGATCCAAAGCCAGGACGAGACAAAATGGTCGCGAGGATAGCATGGACAAGCGCCGGGCGAGGCTCCATGCACAGGATCCAAATCCTCGTCAAAGCGTCATCCCCAAGCAGGCCGAGGGCGAGCAAGTTGCCGCGGGGTGGCCCGGTTGGCTCTCCGCCGTGGCTGGCGAGGCGATCAAAGGCTGGATTCCTCGACGCGCTGATTCTTTCGAAAAGCTTGACAAGGTACGAAGGCTCGCAAGTGGATTTCTTTGCCTTTGGTTTTCTTTGATATGGTTGCCTGAGGGAACGTTTCTTATCTTTGCAGATTGGACAAGGAACTTACAGTAACGTATACAAGGCTCGTGATCTCGACTCTGGAAAGGTCGTGGCACTCAAAAAGGTCCGCTTTGACAGCCTCGAGCCCGAGAGCGTCAAGTTCATGGCCCGGGAAATCCAGATACTCAGGAGGCTCGACCATCCAAACGTGGTGAAGCTGGAAGGCCTGGTTACCTCCCGCATGTCGTCCAGCCTCTACCTTGTGTTCGAGTACATGGAGCACGATCTTGCCGGGCTCGCAGCTTGTCCGGGCATCATGTTCACAGAACCACAGGTTTGCAAAAGCTACTCTCTTTTTTTTTTCCTTCAGTTACATGTTTTTTGCGATTTCAGGTTAAATGCTACTTACAACAATTAATACGAGGACTCGATCATTGCCATACCAGAGGCGTTCTGCATCGCGACATCAAAGGGTCCAACCTCTTGATAGATAACAGCGGGATTCTTAAGATTGCCGACTTTGGATTGGCGACGTTTTATCACCCCTACCAGAACCTTGCTTTAACTAGCCGGGTTGTGACGCTCTGGTACAGGCCGCCGGAGCTACTACTCGGTGCTACAGAATACAGTGTTGGGGTGGATCTCTGGAGCACTGGCTGTATACTAGCTGAATTACTGGCTGGCAAGCCCATCATGCCTGGGCGAACGGAAGTATGCTCGTTGGTTTTTGTTTTACGATGTTTAGTAACGCCTGCCTTTCTTCTTATTGATCGAACAGGTGGAGCAATTACACAAGATTTTTAAGCTATGTGGCTCGCCATCGGAAGAGTATTGGAAAAAATCCAAACTTCCTCACGCTACGATTTTTAAGCCGCAGCAGCCTTACAAACGCTGCATCGCTGATACTTACAAAGACTTCCCTTCGACCGCACTGGCCCTTCTCGAGATTCTTCTTGCGATTGAGCCGGCTGATAGAGGAACTGCAGCTGGAGCACTGAAAGCAGATGTAAGTGGCTCATGCATGCACTTGTAACATTCTAACTTGAGTGCTTCCATGCAGTTTTTTAACACTAAGCCGTTTCCATGCGATCCATCTGTTCTACCAAAATATCCTCCGAGCAAGGAATTTGACGCCAAGACGAGAGATGAAGAGTCCAGGAGGTAATTATATCCTCGTGCTTTTGTCCAATTATACTAAAGCGGTGCTTGTTTTTACCATTCCAGACAGAGAGCAGCCAAGCATGGTGTTGCAGAAGGCCGGAGGCATGGCTCCAGGGAACGTAGCAGGGCCGTGCCTGCGCCCGACGCCAATGCAGAGCTTCACGCTTCCGTACAGGTAACTTCTGCTCGTAATAAATGGCTGCATTTCTTTCTTTTTTTTCTCACGTTTTATTTTTCTATTTTTTACTTTTTATTTTTTCCGTAGAAACGGCGTTTGTCTTCTCATTCCTCGAAGAGCAAGAGCGAAAAGTTCACGTATCTTTCCGAAAAGTCAGCATCTGGATTTCCCATGGAGCCTCCAGCTCCGCGATACGGGCAGCAACCCACGGATGTCCGGGGCACGTCACCGGTTCCACCACGCCAGTTTGTGCCTCCAGCATCATCGCGCTCTGGCCCAATTGGGAACCCGACAGCAGCGACTGCCAACTGGTCCCGGAAGCAACGAGACGAGGACGTGAGAATGGCCCCGCAACGGTCGACGAGCAGGGCAATGCGATCATCCACCGGACAAGTGGAAGTTGACAGGATCACAAGCAGTTCGTCACGGCACGGGTCTTTTGCCGAGCAAGGCCAAGGGAAGGATGGCGACTTCTCCAAGCACAACTTGCGGAGCGTGCTCAAGGCCGCCGACAGGAAACACGAGCTCGACTCCCGGCGCTCGGACGTGTTCCGTGGGCCCCCAAATCTTCCCGAGGCCCCGGCCAGGGACGGAGCGAGAGATTCTCAGCCGACTCCAGCGGTAACATTGTCATATCGGCTGCTTGTGAATGTACTTAAATACTTTTGCTTTGCAGGGCTATGATCCTCAGGAGCGCATGTATCACTCTGGCCCGCTGCTTCGTCCCGGCTTCTCTGCCCCAGTAGACATCGAAGAGCTACTTGAAGAGCACCAGAGAAAGCTCAAGGAGGCGGTGCGGCGGCACGACATGAATCAAGCATCGGCCGAGAAGAGCAACCTCGAAGGGAGTTGATTCCAGGTACTTGTCTTTCCTTTCCTGGGAGTCGGAACTAATACCACCAAAACCGCAGCAGGAGGTCGGCCACCACCAGTGTTTGTATTCTGTGTAAGAGTCACGAGGCGGGCGTCTTGCGCTTCGTGCCGCTGCTAGCAAAAGCTTGAGCTGTAATTTTTTTCCCCTCGCGTCAGGAGATGGAAAAGAGAAAGTACACAAAAGTCTTGACTTACCCGCAAGTTGAGCACTCCCTATGTTGCTTGCAGAAGATTGATAATCGTGCGTTTGTGGCAGAAGCAGCTGCAAAGAATGTTTGTTATAAGTTGAGATTGAAACTTTTTTTCTCTTCTACTTACGAGGCCCGAAAGTCCACTCCTGCCGAGCGGGGGAACTGGATGAATTGCCTTGATTGTAAATCCACTGTGAATCCACCGTGCCTAAGAAAGAACAAGTTCCAACTCTCTCAGATACTCTCTTAACAGCGAATCCGCTTGTTGCGGCATCAAAGAAGTTCCACCGGTAACGTCCGCGGCCTGGAATTTTACACTAAAAGGAAAGAAAGAAAAGAGTATCAGTCGAAGAAAGGCCGAATGTAGAGCAGCGACCATGCACGCATCGATTGGCGCCTAAAAGGCAGTAAGAGATACGCTAAAGCTCGTGAAACTTGATAACCATGGAACGCTGTGCTGAGAAGATCGCATTAGCAATATACCTTCAAAACGCAAACCATTGAATTGGAAAAAAAATTCAAAGATCCTACTGATGAGGAGGCTTGAAAGGAGTGCCGAGAGTAGCGAAGGCTGGACTCTCGGAGGCTGAGTAGCATCCCTGGAAACGAAATCATTTAACTTCTGTACAATCTTCTCCGGTGATTTGCACCAGCTCTTTCATCGGAGTACAAAGAATGGTATTAGAATTCGCTGCAATCTGCAGGGAGGAAAAAGCAAAATGAACTTCTTATCCGCAATAATCACCAGAGGGCCAGAGGATTGTGTGAGAAAGTAGGATCAAACTGGTCCCTCCCACGAAAATCCAAAATAATCTCCTGTTGGAGCCCTGAAGAGGACCGCACCACTAGAAATGCTGCCCCACCACCAGGCTGCTATCATCTACAAGAGAGCGTCAGTGTGATCGCTCGATCGTCCCTAGAACCCTTAATGTTCTTAAAACGACGACTTATTATAAAAAGATGGTGAAGAAACAAACGTACCGCGCTTAGCTCTTCCCGAGAACCCTAAATATTCTTAAAACGACGACATTTCTCTACTCTTCCCGATGGGCTCTCGGTGCTTAGGAAAAAGCTCTTCTTTCCTCCTTGTTGGCTCACAATGTAAGGAGTGCCAGAAATTCACTTAGCTCCAGCTTAATCAGAAAGCGATTTTCTTTCTCTTCCAGGTGTGGATTTAAGAGAATTTGCCAGTATATATCATAGGGTTTAAGGTTTCAACCGAATGGCGGCGGATGCGGTGCGAGCGGAGCAAATCAAGCAGACGATCATTGCCCTTGGGGACGAGAACTTCAGGAAACTAGTCGATCCAAGGCCAGGTGAGATCGTTGCGTCTCTGCCATTCCCCGGTTTGCCCTGGTCTAGAACAGGCACGAGGCCGCCTAAGGTCTTCGATTTTGTAACTCGGCAGGAATACGGGAAGATACTTTCGCGTCTTGTTGAAAAGATTGGGGAGAACCCATCCTTGGATGTCTCATGCGTAGTTTCCTTGAGTGGCGTAAAGGGTTCAGGGAAATCATGTTTTTTGCGGGCCTTGGCCATCTTGCTTATCTCGGCCCAGATTCCGAAAGTCAGGATCATATGCATCTGGTACTTAGATGCGACGGCCCCTCTCGTCCCACAGATTACGGCCGCACTCTACTTCGCCTTCAGCGATGACGCCGAAGCTGTCGAGAAGATTGGGTTTATTGACTCCCCTGACAGCCTGGATGCTTTTCTGAAAATCAGAGTTCAGAATGAGAAGTTCTTTCTCTTGGTTGATGGCGCAGAACGCTACGATAAGTCACACAAGAACGGTTCACCTAGGCGTTTGGAGGATACAGAAGATGCACAGGCAGCCAGACGCTGGCTAGATGTCTTTTACAAGTGGTCTACTCACAGGTTCCAGACATTTTCCCACAACGTAACTCGGGTGGACGTAACACATATCAACGAGCATTTCAACTGTCTTTTCACCACGGTAAAATAGATTCTTCTTCCCGTATCGTCATTATCTTGCTTACTGCAGGAGGAGTACAATACATTTCTCACGACTTGTAAAATTCTCGGCCCGATGCTCCGAGAGAATCCTGACCGTGTCGCTGTGGTGGACCATCTTGCTGGGAGACATCCTATGTCCTTGTACCTGCTCGAGGAAAAATGTGCGCAGTACGTGAACACAATAACTGGTAATGCTTTCAACAAGCGGAAAGTTGAGAATCCGCTCGCGATGGCCGTATTGAAGCGGAAGACTGAAACCGGGCCGGTATGTGGTCATCAACTATGTTTCAGCTAATTGTTTGTTCGTTGGCAGGTGCCCGCTAGGTTTACGACTGAGATAGTTTCGTCTGCTTATTGTTCGCCACCCGGCCATAAATTCCTTGCTGATGCTTGCGACTGGAGTGAGGTTGTCTGGTTATTCAGGGAGGATGAAAATTTCCAGTCAATGCGGAAGCAGCCCGAACTTGTGGACGGATTTCTTCTCCCTATTGCCGGCCAGGAGTCTTCAATTCCGTGCACTCCGTTTATCCGAGAACTCGATCTCCAGATGCGTTTGTTAAGGAGGGAGAGGCATGCGTACCGAACTCCGCAGATGCGTGCGCTCCTTCAACAGCTACTGAAGGAAAGGAACACCGTTTGGCCCCAAGTAGGATACATATGCGAGGGGATTGTAGCAGAGGCTGTATTGGACGAGGGCTTCTGTTTTCGAGGCACCAACTACCAGGCGGATCGGGTTGAAAGTTTATCTGGCAAGCCGAAGCTGATAACCGCCAGCGACTTGAACACGAACGAGAAGGTTTTCTACATGACAGGATCGTTTAATTTCAAGTACGTTGACGGATTGCTTGTCTGGAAGGACGGGCACGGAATGCTGCACTTCTGGTTCGTTCAGGTGTGCCTTAACCCCGGAGCTCACAGGGGTACAGAGTTTAAGTTCGTGCGTCGAGAAGAATTTATACAGTGGACAATCCTTACTGATCCTTTCAAGCTATATTATGTGTACGTCTGCCCGAGGCCGACTTCTCTTCCGTCGGAGGAGCACGAGGAAAACAGGACGTTAGAACAAGGTAACGTAGTTTAATTATGGCTTCTCTTGTCTAATGACCCCGCATGTTTCAGGAACTCCGGAGAAGACTAACAAGCCGACATCCAGGAAGAAAGGTAGCCTAGGAATCTTTCTTGGCTTTTCTTAACTTGCTATGTTTCAGGAACTCCGGAGAAGACTAAGGGCACTAAGAACAAGGAAGCGAAGGAACTGGTGACGCATTATGAGCAGGACGACGGCACAGTTGCATACACAAAAGCAGAGATTTCTTTTGACAGGTGTTTGCGGTTGACAGAGGAGGAAATTGCGCTGCTAAAGGAGTTGGGCAAATTGAGGGAGAGGCTTGCAAACGAAAAGAAGGCCAAGAAGAAGCAGAGAGAGAACGAAGAGGATGAGCAGCTGGCCGACAAACAGAAATACCGTGGGATGTTTCTCAGAGCGGAATTGCAGGACATTGCTGAGAAGTACGGAATCCCAGATGCGTCCTCAAGGAAGAAGTTCCCCAGCACACCCGACCTGATTCTAGCGATTCCACTCAACGGTTTAATGGAAGCTGAAGTTGCTAAAATGAAAGCCAAGCAGAAAGCCGGGCGCAAACGGTTGAAGCATTATCTAAATTAAGCGTGAATTCCTGTTGCCTACGCGTGTGCCATCACAGGTAGGAGGTGGCGGCGGTGTTGCGAATGCTGTCTCGCAGTCTAGATGTCACTCTTTACGGCGCCCCGGGAGCTGGGAGAAGCGCTTGCCTGCTCGAGAATCCGAGGAGCTGCGTCGGATTCCAGTGGATGGGAATGAGCTGCCGCAGCTGGAAGGGAGAGCTGGAAGGAAGTGCAATCAAGGAAGAGCTGCTGCTGAGTCTCCACACCAATGGGCTGTATCTGCGCAAAGTCGTCCTCCAACTCGAGATCGCAGGGAAGTCCCAAGGACAAATCCTACTCGCGGCCACAGCTGCGCATTTATCTACGAGGATCGAGTTGGATAGTGGGCGAGAGATCCAGGAGCATGGACAAGCGCCGGGCGAGGCTCCATGCACAGGATCCAAATCCTCGTCAAAGCGTCATCCCCAAGGTCGCCGCGGATGGCGGTGGCTGGCGAGGCGATCCAAGGCTGGATGCTGATTCTTTCGAAAAGCTTGACAAGGTAAGGGCAGCAAAGATTTGATGGGAACGTTTCTTATCTTTGCAGATTGGACAAGGAACTTACAGTAACGTATACAAGGCTGGAAAGGTCGTGGCACTTGTCATGTAGCACTCGCTTCGTCCCGGCTCGCTACTACTCCAAGAGCATCAGAGAAAGCTCAAGGAGGCCGTGCGGCGGCACGACATGAGCCAAGCATCGACCGAGAAGAGCAACCTCGAAGGGAGTTGATCCTGGGAGTTGGAACTAATACCACCAAAACCGCAGCAGGAGGTCGGCCACCACCAGTGTTGTATTCTGTGTAAGAGTCACGAGGCGGGCGTCTTGCGCTTCGTGCCGCTGCTAGCAAAGCTTGAGCTGTAATTTTTTTTCCCTCACGTCAGAAGATGGAAAAGAGGAAAGTAGACAAAAGTCTTGACTTACCCGCAAGTTGAGCACTCCTTATGTTGCTTGCAGAAGATTGATAAACAAACCGAGCATATATAGCCCATGTCAATTGTGCGTTTGTGGCAGAAACAGCTGCAAAGAATGTCTGTTATAATTTGATTGAAGCTTTTTTCTCTTCTCCTTACGAGGCCCGAAAATCCACTCCTGCCGAGCGGGGGAGCTGGATGAATTGCCTAGAGTGTAAATCCACTGTGAAAATTGTCTGCCAGGAAAATCTCTTAAGAATGAAAAAGAAGTTCCAAGTTTTCTACCATCAAGTACTCTAACAGCGAATCCGCTTGTTGCGGCATTAAGTAAGTTCCACCGGTAATGTCCGCGGCCTGGAATGTTACGATAGAACAAAAGGAAACAAAAGAGTCTCACTCCAAACCTGTTGAAGAAAGGCCGAATGTTGAGCACCGACCATGCACGCATCGATTGGCACCTAAAAGGCAGCAAGAGATGGTTAATATACGTTTCTTGATAAAGCTCGTGAAACTTGATAACCATGGAACGCTGTGCTGAGAAGATGGCATTCATGATAGCAATGTACCTTCAAAACCCAAACCATCGTATGAAACCACGTATTACTCGGAAAAAAGAAAACAAAAAAACAAAAAATCCTACTGATGAGGAGCGTCAGGCGAGGCTTGCAAGCAAAGCATCTGTAGTAAGCAAATGTAAGACAAGCGGGTCAAACCACGCTACTCACCCTGGGCTTGGAAGGACCTATCTTTTCTTTGAGTGCCCTTTGGATATCTGCGAAGGGAAAAAGGAAAGACTAAAAGGATAGAAATGAGATACTCACAACAAAGAGCCATTGACAAGGACGCCGAGAGTAGCGAAGGCTGGAATTTCGGAGGCTGAGTAGCATCCCTGGAAACGAAATCATTTAATTTGTGTACAATCTTCTCCGAGGCCGTCTGGTGATTTGCACCAGCTCTTTCATCTGAGTCCAAAGAATCATATAAGAATTCGCTGCAATTTACAGGCAGGGAAAATTCTTAGCAACGGCAAAAAGAAGTTCTTGTCACTCACCAAGAATTGCATCCACTCGCAATAATCACCAGATGGTTCATGTGATTCATGAGCGCCAGGGAATTGAGGAATGACAAAACCTGTGAGAAACGAAGAGATCAAACTGGCCCCTTTCAAGGAAATGCAAAATATTCTCACCTGTTGGAGCCCTGAAGAGGACCTCACCACTGCATTCCAGAAATGCAGGCTAGTATCCAGCAACACCACCACCAGGCTGCTATCGTCTACAAGAGAGAAGCGTCAGTGATTGATCGATCGATCGGCGCGATCGCCAAACCTGGAGGCGGGGCGCCAGCCATAATCTCCTGACCTTCTTCCCTAGAACCCTAAATATTCTTAGAACAACGAGTATATTCGCATAGTATTTAACAACAAGCATATTCCCCTTATTTGAAAAGGATGACCCAGCCAGAAGTTGAGCGATCAAACCATGGGAGGAAAAAAAAAAAGAAGAAACAAACGTTACCTCGCTTAGATTTTCTCTACTTTTCTTCTCGATGGCCAGCGTCCCAGCTCTCGGTGCTTAGGAAGAAGCTCTTCTTTCCTCCTTGTTGGCTCGCGCGCTTCACGCAGCCCGAGTCTCTGGGACTATACTCCACCTCCCGGTTGATCACCAGACCCGGCAGCTTTTTGAGCTCGCTCTCCAATCCATCTCTTCTCATCGGTGGCGTTTTCATCGCCTCCCTGCTCGCTGGATTCCTCGGCCGGAGACGACTCAATCCGGATCTTGCCGCTGCTCCAATGCCAGACTTTCGAGCTGGAGGATTTGCTGCGTCGACTGCCTGCTCCTGCTGCTGCTGCTGATCGAGTGACACTCTTTTCCTGTGGCTCGAAGCTGCTGGTGCCGCTCCTCCCGTGTCTGGCGATGCTTGAGACGGGATGTCCAGAGATCGCTTCCTCGTAGGCTGGTGTTGAGCAGGAGACTCGTTGTACCGGCTTGCGACGTTCCTCACCTTTCGTGTCACGGACGGAGAAACTTTGGACGCCTTGTTGCTCTCCTTGAGATCGACTAGAAGCTGTGCTTCCGGAGTCCCCTTTGCCTTCTTGTGGCTCTCGTCAACCTGGGGCCTCTTCTCCACGGTAGCTCCAGATCTAAGCGACTTGGTCCAGTCGAACTTCTTGGATGCCTCCGAAACGTTGCTGGTGGCGGGGCTTAAGCTGAGGTTTCGGATCTGCTCGATGAAGTTGCCATCGAGGCTGCAACGGTAGCTACTCTTCAGGGAGCTCGCTGGCCGAGCTAGACACTTGAGACCTGCGCCTGCCTGGAGTTTCTCAATGGCTTTGCTTCGAAGAAGAACTCTTGGAGCCGACTTGAGAGAACTTTCTTTTTGCTCAGCGTCCGGAACAGGAACTCTTGGAGCCGACTTGAGAGAAGATTCTTTTTGCTCAGCGTCCGGAACAGAAACTCTTGGAGCCGACTTGAGAAAAGTTTCCTTTTGCTCAGCGTCCGGAACAGGAGCACGGCCGTGATGAGGAGTCGTAGCCTTCGAAAAAGAAGTCACAGCACCCGTCGAAGTACCTTTGGAGAAAGGAGTCACGGCATTCGTCGGAGTAGCTTGAAAGGAAATCGTAGTAGCCTCGTTTCTTCTAAAGGACGCCTGCTTCTCCGACGTCTTTGGTTCAAGGTCAGGACTTTTTGTTGGCCACTGCAGAAACTTGGCCGACACCATCCTTCCTTTCCCCCGGCTCTTACTCTTGTCTCCATCGTTCGTCTGTTCCTGTAGTCCGGACGAAAGCGGAGTCGGGGGACAGCTGAGTGCACGCTTTGCTCGTTCCTGCGTCTTGTGTTTCGCCTCCCGTTTTGCACGAAGCTCCGCCAACCTCTTAGTCAGAAGTGCGATCTCGTTCTCTATCTCTTTCTCCAGGTGGTCTACTTCGTCCTCTTCGACGATCGCTGTCATTTCATTTTTCTCTGGCACCTTGACTTCATGTACTTCGTTGGCCTCAACAGCCAAGGAAAGTTTCACTGCTGAAGATCCATCGCTACCTTTGGTATCCTTCAGACCATCTTCAGCTGTCATCAGTTCCATACCAGCCACCGTATCATCGTTGCATACGAGGACGCTTTTCTCCACAGACATCGTCGCAGTCGGCGTCTGAGTTTGCTGCTCTGAGCAGAAAGCGGCATTGCTCCAGATGACAGTCCTCTCCTTGGGCGATTCGGGGCTGTGCATGCAGGAAGATGACGAGAGCTCGACTGTGGAAACACGTCGTCAGAAAAGTTCAAACAAAAGGTGGAGTTACCTTCTCCATCCTCACTCAAACTCGCAGGCTTCGTGCTTTCCACGACTGCAAAAAAACTCCCCTTCGAACAAAGTTCTCAAAAGAAGGAAACAAGGTACTTACATGCCACAGCCTCCACTTCAACATTTTTGGCCTTGTCCACGAGCAAATCCTCGTCTTTCTTGGCGATTCCCCCTTCCAGAGACGATCCAGATGCATTCTCGTTGATCGGGAGCAACGCCGTCGCCATGGAGCTCCCGTCTTTCTTCGCGCGGCCTCTCCTACGCCCAGATTTCTTGCCCTTCCTACTCTGCTGCTGCTCTTTACTCGATCCAGTGCCCTCTTTCTCCCTGGCGCTGCCATAATCCGCGCCTTTCGCCCGCTTCACGGCCTCTGCCTCCTCTTCCTCGGCCCTCCTCGCATTCTCGTCGCAGCGCGACCTCCGGATCCCTCCTCTTGCCATGTCGCGCAACCCTAGCATCCAGAATTGGAGACGATCCAGCAAAGAACAGGCGCGAAAAGAAAGATCGCGTACCTAGAGTAGGGCGGGCGAGAAGATCGTCGGACCCTATTCCACCGTGATCGCGCCCAGGCACATTTCCGTCTCTTTACTGACCAAGCCGCCCAAAAGAAAAATTTGAGAGTGATATAGCCGTTGAGCTTTTCTTCTTTAGCACGATCCCGCCATTTTATCTTACAATTTTTCACTCTTCTTAAAATCCAGGTGATCTTCCATCATCAGACTTCCCAAGGCCAATGATCCAAACCTCGAGCTCCATCGTAGTATCACCTAGTGACAAGCTCATACTTTTTCCAATCCTCTGAGACTCAAGCAATCTCTTAAAAACGAGACAGTTCTTGGGCCTGGGTTGGCTCCATATAATATTAATCGCGGTCTAAGATTTTGTTCCTGTTACATAAGGTTCGCTTGGCCAAAATTTCATCAATATCCAGTCTAACTCTTCGTGAAAAGGTTGTGAACCTGACGATAATATAAACCTCCGAAGCCGCAACCTTTTACAATCAAATACAAACATGATACTGTTCCTGCGAAACAAATATCATAAGAACTTGCCATCATCAATCTGTCAAGAACTTCCTTACATCCGTTTCCGCTGTTAATAAAGTCGCTTCCTACACGAGAGTGCTCCACAGTAACACGGCAATTTTTTCACTAGACCATCAGAATCGACCACACTGTTGAGTGCATAGCCATAGTCGTAGCTTAGCTCCTGCCATTTTCACAACAAAGATCATCTGGATGTCTATTAGATTTGCGAAAAGTTTTACCTGAAGTGGTGCTATGTTGTCAGCTGCAAACAGTACAATCCGAGGGATTCGCATGTCGTGATGAGTCGATAAAACGCACTGGATGAAGAGGTTTGGCTCGCAGCTGTGATTGATAAAACGCGCTACTGCTCCACACTCGCCTCCGTCCAGGCAAAACTCCGCTTGTCCATGGTGTTCCGCATCCTCAGCGTCCCTGGACTCGCAGCTAACTTTCCCATTCTGGTAGTCCAAAAACTTGTTCAAGTCTCCCCACCGTCTCTGGAGAAGAAGTTTTAGAAATTCTCGAATCCAAATGTAAATGGTATACCTGTCTGCCGTCAACTCCTCGCATGGTTTGAATGCAATCCAGATCAAACAAATAGACGTCGCTCTTTACGTCGAGACTGTCAGACTTTATAACTTTGCCAAAGTATTCACAGACGGGCGCTCCAGCAGGGATGGAATCCCATGATCTAACAGCCCATCCTTTGTGCTGGGTTTTGTACACCTGAAATCGTAGCAACAACATATCAAAATTGCCGCCAACACTTGACAATGCTCACCTCAAGGCGGTAACGTAGGCCACGCTGCGTCACTCGGTTTATACATGCCGGACCGCACCCGCAGTTTGGGCCACACTCATACACGGCGTCAAGAGGCACAGCCAGTCTAAAAAACACAAAAGAAAATCAGTCTTGCACGAAAAATCGAGTCGAGAACCTGCCACCATGGCTGTCAACGTATGGAAACGTGTGTCCATTTCGTTTTGCACAGCTGCATGTTTTAGGATCAACGCAGAGCCCCTTGCAACTGCATCCCAGCGCTGGAGGCGGAAGTACAATCCCGTCATCAATTTCGATTTTGTTGATGTATCTGTAGCCTACGAAAGTCATTTGTCACACAAAGAATGCATGAAACTTGTGAAATACCATCGGGTGCACAAGGCGGATTGTCCACGAGATTCGACACGGGAACTGGCAAAACTTCCAGTCCATTGGAAATATCTTTGCAAACCAGTCTGCAAAAGAGAGGATCAAACTTTAGTTTTCCAAACCAAGTTCACTGCGTACTCACCCGCGCTCAGATGGCGCCACAGGAAGCTTTCCTCTACAGAAGCGGACTTGCTCAGTGGTAAGCGCTGGCTGGCCTTCACAGCGCCTTAGCTTGAATTTATAAACCTTGAAACCGGATATCCCTCTCTCAGCCCAATAGTCCACTACCTACAAACACAGTTAAAACAACGCAGACTAGGAAATCGATCGTGAATACCTTGTAGAGGCCATCGTACGTGTACACCCTTTTAGTGTAGCTGTGCCTCAAGTCATGGCCACGGAAGACTCTGACAGGGTTCCCTTCTTCAATAGAGTTCTGCAAACTCAGCACGTAAGCCAATGGAACGTAAAGCAAGCACAAACCTTCAAGGCCAGATTACCACGCTTCATCTCTTGATGTTTCATTTGGCGCCGGTCACCAGCGAGATTGTTTCCACCTTGTCCTGTGTAAATCACATCATCGGAGTTGTCAACGTCGTCCTCGTAGCCTCCCGACATGACGATAGAAATGGCCAGAGGCAAGTTATATGTCTTGTGATCGTTGTCTCCCTAAGCAAAGCGTGAGAGATAAATCATCGTGCTACTAGCAAGTACCTTTCCAATGTAATCTATTCCGTTTATCCAGTGTTTGTGGATCCCCACGCTGACAAGCTCAGCTCGAGAGAAGAAAGTGTCTCCGACTTTTACTCCTAGAAAGAAGCATTGTATACTTCGACGCGAAGATCATAAAAAGCATACCAGGTAAGTCGCCAATGCGCTTCTCCGGAAAAAGAATCGCGTTCATGCGCAGCATCTGTGAAGAAGAAACATGTTAGAGGTTCTTCGTTTTGGCATAGATGATCACCTTGGAGATCGCTTTCAAGTCGGGACGCTGGGAAGCGTTCCTCATCTTCTTGCAACGCTCCTGCTCTTCCTGTGGAAAGAGAAAAAAGAAAAGAGAAGGAAAACATCTAAGACACAACCAAAGAATGGAAGAATGTCACACCTTGATCGCTTGCAAGTAGCACATATTGAAGATCCGGAGATTGTTCTTCACTTTCGCGGCATCGCCGAGCACAAAGTTCCCAGATTTCGAGAGAGCTTGGCCATTCTCCACATCCACCTCGCCCTCTGCCCCTACCTTCGCAAGATCGGCAAGATCGGCGCTCATTCCAGTAGTCTTGAGCCTCATCGCCCGGCGATTTCCTACCAACACCTCTGCCCTGCGCTTGTGATCCACATTCTTGCTAGTCCGAGGCATTGCTTCTTCTGGATTGCAGCCACTCTCTCACACACCGCCGCCCGTGTCAGAGCATTAAACCCTAGCTCCACATTTTGAAAATCCCGCTCACACATATCGAGATCATCCACCCAGAGATCATTGATCCATTTATGCGCCCAAGGAATATAATCTCTTGGAATATTTCCATCGCTTTGCTCGTCAGGAACAGAGACCTCCCCACCGCACTAGCGCTCTACGAGAAAATGCCCGAGAGGGATGCAGTGGCATCGACGGCCATTATCATGGCACTTGGCCAGCACGGACGGTTGGATGAGGCCGCAATGGCTTTCGACCGCGCCGGCGCTCGAGATATTCGAACCTGGAACTCCCTCCTACAGGCATATGCCGGGAATAGGGATCTGGAAGATGCCGAGCGCGTGGTGGACAAGATGCCTGGGTGGGACGAGGTGACGTGGACCACAATGTGCACGGCATATGCCCAAGCCGGGAATATACATACCGCCAAGCGGATATTCGATTGTATGCCCTCTAGGGGTATGGTTTCTTGGAACGCTATGGCGACCGCATTTGCCCAGCAAGGGCATCGCAAGGAGTGCCAAGATCTCTTCGATCGCATGCCCCAGCACACCACTCTCACTTGGAATTCGATGATCGCGGCTGCAATTCGGGACGATCGCTGCCAGGACGCGAGATTTCTCTTCGAATCTTGCCCGCAGCGTAACATCGCGTCCTGGAGCCAGATGATCCAGGCCGGGGAGAAATTCGCGGGCGCGAAGCCTGTCTTTGATTTGATGCCGATCTGGGACACGATGTCAAGCACAGCAATCGTCTCTGCTCTAGCTCGAGATCCCGAAAGAACAAGGCATGAAATCACAGAAGCATTCGATTCCCTTGTTCCAGATCGAAGCTCCTGGTCATGGATCTCGCTGCTCGAAGCCATCGCCCAGAGGGGCGAGCTCCACCTCGCGATCCAGTGCTACCTGCGAATGCCTTGCTGGGACGCGACCTCCTCCAACATCACGCTCACCGCGTACGGAAATCTCAGCGCTCTCGACTCCGCGCGCGAGATTTTCCACGCGATCCAGCACAAGAACGTGATCTCGTGGACGGCCATGGCGTCCGCGCACGCCCGCGAGGGAGATCTAGCCACCGCCGAGGTTTTCTTCGATCGAATGCCACACAGAAACATCGTCGCCTACACGCTCATGATCTCCGCCCTCGCGCACGGCAATCGATTGCACGACGCCAGATCGCTCTTCGATCAGATGCCGGAGCGCAGCGCGATCTCCTGGAATGCAATGATCGCCGCGTATGCTCAGAGAGGGTATCTCCTCGCTGCCCAATCTCTCCTCCAGGATCGACCGGTAGAGGACAGTGCGTCGCGAAACACGATGATCGCGGCGTATGCCCAGCACGGATCGCTCGATACCGCCATAGCCCTCTTTCACAGCATGGATCAAAGAGACACGATCTCCTGGAACACGATGATCGCAGCATTCACTTCCAGCGGAGATCCCTGCCGCGCGCTTGGCCTCTTGCGGGGAATGGCGATCGAGGGAGTGACACCAAACGAAGCAACGGTGCTCGCAGCCCTCGACGCTTGCGCCCAAATCTCCTCGCTCGCCATCGCCAAGACGATCCACTCGAGCATCCAGGGTACCGGCCTAGACTCCCTGCCCGCCGTGCTTGCCTCGCTCATCAGCGCCTATGGCCGCTGCGGCGGAATCGCCCAAGCCCTAGAGCTCTCCCAGAAGATCTCGCCCGATCCAGTCGCGTGGAGCTGCGCCTTGGACGCGCGCTCTCGCAGTGGCGCCGCCCTCGACCCGGCAGCGCTGCATTCCCTGGCGGTGGAGGGACTCTCGCTCGATCCCATCGTCTTCAGCCTCCTCCTCCTCTCGTGCAGCCACACCGGCGATCTCCACCGGGGATTCCACTGCTGGAAGCTCATCACCGGCGACTTCGGCGTGGTGCCGCGCGAGGATCAATGGGCGTGCGCGGTGGATATCCTAGCTCGCTGCGGCCGCCTGGACGAGGCCCGCGAGCTCCTCCTCGCCATGCCCTTCGTCCCGGGCGACGCCGCGCGCACTGCCCTGCTTGGCGCGTGGGCGCGATCTTAACCTAATCCTAGAAGCATATTCCTTGCTCGAAATAAGCATATTCTATGCTTCACAATGTATTTAAAGGTCAGAAGAGAAGGATTATAGGGTAATGGCGTGCTTCGGCTTCTCGCTCGTTCGATCGATGCTACGCCGGCTGGAGAAGCGCTGCCGGAGCTTGGGATTGATCGAAAAGACGTTCCCCTTGCGCGATTCCGTCACGGTAATGCGCTGCTGGGTGCCCGATCGCGCGAGCCCGGGCTACGATCCCTCCAAGCCGCCGCTCATGCTCATCCACGGCTTCGCGGCCAACGGGATCGCTGGGTGGGAGCATCAGCTGCCCGATCTATCCCGAAATTTCGCGCTCTACGTGCCCGATCTCGTCTTCTTTGGCGGATCGACCACCAGCGACGAGCGCGCGCGGTCCGAGTTCTTCCAGGCTCGCTGTATGCTCGAAATCCTCGAGGCGGAGGGCGTCGACGGGGCGGCGGTGGCGGGGACGAGCTACGGCGGATTCGTGGCATTCCGGATGGCGGAGCTGGATCCGGCGCGCGTGAAGAGGGTAGTGATCGCGAGCTCGGGCGTTTGCATGGATCCCCACAGCAACGATGCGATCCTCGACGCGTTCCAGGCCAGGCACATTCATGAGGTCCTCATGCCCAGCTCCATCGCGGTCCAGAAGAAAAGCATCCAGCTTTGCCTCTACAAGCGCTTGTGGCTCCCAGATTTCTTCGTCCGGGATCTCATGGAGGTAAAGGCTTTCGTGTTGAATCCTCGTTGACTCTTGCTGCCCGTGCGTTGACTGTGCTTCGATCCAGGTGTATGGCGGCAACAGGAAGGAGAGGATTGAGCTCCTCGACGGCCTGGTCATCGGCACCGAAGCCGCGCAGCCGCTGCCAAAGCTCTCACAGGCAAAGACACACTCTTGGAAATCATTTCTCTAGCACTTACATTGCTCTTGAACAGGAGGTCTTGATTCTCGTGGGATCGCACGACCGGATCTTCGATCTGGAGCTCGCCAAACAGCTAAAAGCGTGAGTGATTGATTGATTGAGAATCGAGTGTCTCTTTCCTTACAGTGCTGATCTCATTTGCGCTTCTTTTCAGACATTTAGGTGAGAACGCGATGCTGGTTGTGATTGAAAAGACAGGACACGTTCCACAAGTGGAAAGGCCCAAGGAATTCAACAAGCACCTACAAGCCTTTCTCACTCCACCGGTGGGTCAACCTCGTTGACAAAAGGAAGAAAGACACAGACGTTTAATAGATATCAATTCAAAGAGATGACCAGAGTTGGATCCCAGGCAAAGTGTGACCGCCATCGACGTGATAGATCTGGCCGGTGATGTAAGACGAGTGTTCGTCGCTCGCAAGCATGAGCACGAGAGACGTCAAGTCGGGAGATACTTGTCCAAACCGGCGCAGTGGAACGATCTTGGCCGCGGCGTCGTGGACCCAGGCTTTGTCGAGAAGGCTGTCGGTGATCTCGGATGGAAAGATCCCAGCTGCGATGGCGTTTACTCGGATCTTAAACTTGCCGAGCTCCAAGGCCATGCTCTGAAAGAGTGTGTGCTCTAGCGTTTAGAATCGCGAGCAGGGAGGAAGGAGGGAGCTGGTACCTGAGTCAAGCGATTGATGGCGGCCTTGGATGACGCGTAGGCGATCCCGCCGGGAAGAAGGCCACCGGATGATGCAGTGGAGGAGATGTTGATGATCGAGCCGGGTTTCTTGGCGGCCACCATTCTCCTCGCGACAGCCTTGGAAACCAGCCATGTACCTCTCGTGTTCGTGTTAAAGGTTTTGTTCCAATCGTCTTCGTCCAGCTCCAGAGGCGACTTTACAGGTCCTGAAGGAAAAGAAAAACAAAAAATAATACTATCATAAGAACAAAGTTGGCTAAGAAAAAGATGATCACCAAAGAAGCAAGAACGTTGTCAAGCAAGAGGCACATAAATTTTCAAGAAAAACACTTGGTAAAAAATCTTCAAGCAAGGACTTTCGAGAAACTAATGCCACTTTTTTTCCTCGGAGGAACCAAGAACGTTGTCAAGAGAAAAAAAGAGATTGAAAATCTTCAAGAAAAAAAACCAGCAAGAACTTTTCATATTTTCGAAAGAGATTGAAGACTTGCCTCTAATGCCTGCATTGTTGACGAGCACATCCACACCTCCAAAGCAATTCCACGCCCGATCAACGCCGGCATCGATAAATTTCTCGCTTGCGCTCACATCCAGCTCCACAGAGCGGGCATCGTGGTGCCCGATCTCCTCGCACACCGATTCCAGCAGATGCGTCCTGCGCGCCGCGAGCACCACCCGGTAAGATCCCTGCTGCGCGAACGCGATCGCGAATTCCTTGCCCAGCCCGGACGACGCTCCCGTGACCAGGACCACTCTCTTCTTCTTTTCTCCCTCCATCCAACCTAAAAGGCTGTGTTGCTTATTTTATTTTTGAAAAACTTTAGACTCACATCAAAACAAGCCAATGTACTTCTAACTCATATGTGTTGTTTATAATAGACTCTTTGTTGGGATATTTTCTAAAGCTTTTTGTTTGGACATATATTATTAGGTATTGCATCGTTTTGAGTTTGACTATTCTATTGTATTCAAGGTTTTATACAAAATATAAAAAGTAAACTAATCTATGGTATTATTGCCAATAAGGACCTTCTATATCTAATTTGTGTGTATTGACAAGATTAATATTTGACATTTTATCTCAATTGTTCGAGATTAGATAAAAACATGCTACATTTTCTTTGCAATAAGTTATACTAAAAGTAGCTCAGTGTTTCATTTTAGTCCATAAATTCAACAACTTTTTTTACTATATGTCAAAAAAATAATTGATACTATCACTTACTAAAAAGTATTAAAAAATTTCATATGTTATTTGAATCCATTTTACTATAATAAACTTTTATTATATATTTGTACATAATTTATTACATATATATAGCTAAAGATTTGAAAAAAACCTATAAGTATGAGTACTTATAAAATTTTAATTCTAAATAATAGAAGTTCTTTTTAATATCTAATATATTAAGTCATTATATTTTTATGGTCTTTACAGTATTGTTGTTAAAATTTATTGTGGCAATAGAGAATAAGCATCTTACTTAACTGACATTACTCAAACTAACATTAGATAGTATTATTTATAAAAAAAAAATTTCGAAATTGAGATTTTATAAGCTATTATGTTTATTGATTTTTGCCATGTTATCAAGTTTAGCCAAAAAAATATTAAAATTAAAACTATGAAGTTAATTATATTTATTGATTTTGCGACACTATTAGTTTTAGCTATATATATATAAAACTTTAAGGCTTTTCTAAAGTACAAATTATTTTATATAACTATTTTAAATAAATTTTGATTTTAATTCAGAAAAATAGTACTTCTAAATATTTTGGTCCACTATAGTTACATAAGTAAAACACCTTGGTTATATGGATAAAATATAAACTTTTTAATCGTCAATAATTATTTTTAAGTATTATTCAATCATAAAATAAATTAATATATATTTTTACTTTATACATTTTTCTAGAATACTTACAAATTTTTCACATAAAGTTTTTCTATTTTTTAGTATTTAATTTTTTTCTATATTAAAGTAAACTTTAAATTACTATTCTAGCATATTATTAAGAATTTCTAATCTATTTACTAATAACAGTATTAAAGTTTTAAAAATAAACATTTTACCATTTATTTTAACAAAATAACTGTTTAATATTCTCATCATCATATAGTTCATAATTAAAGGTAATCCAAATAAAATTTTTTTCTAACTAAAAGATTATTTTAAGTCAAGAAATAATACTGTTATCTAGATTTTCTTAATCTAAAAATAGTTTATTTTTAAAAACTTATTTTCTAGAAATTAACATTAGTTTCATTTTTATTATTTAATATTTTCAATGAAACTTTATATGAAATAATTTTAATTGAAAAAAGAGAGGTATTTTTGAGATTAAAGAGCATTTTGTAATATTATTTTAAGAGTGAAATATTATCCACATTTATTAATGTATTTATAGAGAAATTTACCATTTTCCATTAAATAAATAAATAAATCATGTGAGATGGAGGTTCTATATTCTCACAATCACAAATAAAGTAGTAGATTTTTTATAGTACAAAATAACAAAATGTTTTTTGATGCAAGTAAAAACTAATTAGTGTAATAGAAATTACTAAACACACTAGTATAGCATTTAAATTTAATAGAAAATATTTTTATGTCAAAATTAATGTTTTTTTATATTTTGTGTAAAATTTTGTATATAAATATATTAAACTTGTAATATAATGTTACAATATTATTTCTTCATTAAAAAAGTCTCTTACCTTCTTTGTTTTCCATTCCTTAGAGTTACAATTATATTTTTCATATTTGTTAATTAAATTATTTTCATATTAAAAATATTCTAATTTCAATTTAGCTCTTTTATCACTAAGTATATTGATATAAAATTTATATAGCTAGAAATATAATGAATTTAATTTAGAAATATTTCATCTTTATCTATGCATAAACTTGTTCTCTTGTTAAATACTCTGTAATATTTATTAAAAAATTTAGTGTTATATTTTTCAATAAATTTAACAGTTTATTAATTTTTACACTATATTAACAAAATTTCTCAACTATCAAAATAATTGTTATGCATTGCATAAAGCAATGCTTGGTTTGCTTAATAATAGTGTGATTCTTGCCACTAAGATTATATATTGGTAGTTTACACAGATCTAAATACTATTAAACTTACTAAAATACCTATTTAATAAAAATATTGCCTCTAAAACCTTAACAGAATATTCTTTATTGTGCTAGAATATTCTCAAATATTTTTGTCAATAGTAATGGCTCCCTATTGACATGGCTCCAGATTCATATTCCATTGGGAAAGAGGTAGATCTTTCAGGATTTCTACCACAGCTTTGAGTGAGTATTATTGTTTGTTTGCACCAAGATTGAATCCATAATGTTGGTACTTAGAGTTGCCACAGCCTTGAGGTGTGTAACTAGTCTTTGAAATCTTCCATTCAATATTGATGTGGATTGATGCTGGAGGACTCTTGGGTTTAGAGATTCAGGTATGTCCAACTTAGTATGTAAGAGTTCACTGTTTCACCTGCTGCTTGAACTACTACTACTTTCTATAGTCTATTGTGTTTGGCAAAAGTAACATATAAATAAACAATGCTGATACTTTATTCTCCAAGACTGCAGCCTCAAATTAATTGCTCTACTAAGCAATCCTTGCACAATGCCTTGATGGACAATACCTTTTTATCAGTGAAGTAGTGGAGTTGATGCTGCTCAAAGATTGGACAAATTGGGGATTAAGGAATGCACATGAGGCACTGAGGGTTTTGACAAATACTTTTTATAATGTATCAGCTACAAGTTATATTGTCATTAAAATATACAAAATAAAGAACTATAAATTTGCATACAATAATAATGATAAGATAGTAGTGTTATTTGTACTTATTAATCCAATTAATCAAATAAATTTTATAATTATAAGCATGTTTGTAATTTATAAACACAAGATTAATCTTATTGCATTTCAACCGATAGAATAAAAAATAATATACTAAAAAGGCTTTAAGAAAGTTTATAAATTATAAATATATTTATAAATTATAAAGGCAAGATTAATCTAAATGAATAACAACCGTTAGATGGTACAATATCCTAGAATATCCTAGCATATTCTAGGTATATTTACTACCATCCCAGTCTGCTTAAGCAAACCAAAAACTAGAACCATAATATTGATTGATTAAAATTTGAGTAAATCCAAATAATAAATTATGTTTAGGTAAATAACCTAAAATAATTTTTCAAATTAAAAGTTATGGTGTACAGTTATTTAATTAGGCTTTTTTAGTTTAAAAAGTTTCTATAGACTAAGAAGTAATTTAAGCGCTGGATGGAATATTCTATATATTATCAATTCTTACACCTTTATTAGAAACTTATCTTATAGCCCACCACTTTGGCGAACAAATAAAAAGATGGCGCTTCACAACATCGTGAAGAACCCACCAAAAATCCCACTACAAAAGCCGCGTTGAAGACGTTCTCCTTCCACCAAGTTACACCATCGCCCACATCCACGAGGCCATCTCCTTCGCACGCCCGCGAGAGAGGCTCCCCGCACACCCTCGTAGCTCGACGCGCCAAACTCCAAAGTCTCTGGAATCCTGCCTTGCAAGTCATTAAACACGACCCACAGATCCTTGAGCAAGGGAAGCCTCGCCAGTCCCCCTGGTATCGTCCCGTTGATCCGGTTGAAAGAGAGATCCAGCACTGCCATGGACGTGATCTCTCCCAGAGTCCATGGAATGCCTCCAGACAGCCGGTTGTCTGACAAGTTGAGCTCCCGGACTCCAGCCAGCTCTCCCAAGCTTGCGGGAATCTCACCAGTGAGCTGGTTCGCCGACAAGTCGAGCACTCCTGGCACCTCCAACTCTGGTACGTGTGTCCATCCAAGGAGGCAGCCATATCCTCGAACACAGTTCTTCGGTATGCATCGGTGGAGTTCTCCGGAAACACTCCCGCCGGTGTCATGGGCGATATGTTGAGAGCCTGGTTCTTGTCCGCGGTCTGGAAGCCGGTCCATTCACCGATGGACGCCGGAATCTCTCCACTCAGGAGGTTGGAGGATAGATCCAGTAGCTGCAAGGAGTCACAGCTTGCGAGGCTGCCAGGAATACCACCCGTGAGCTGGTTCTCGGACAAGTCCACCTGTGTCAATCGTCGAAGCTGTCCGAGAGTGGCGGGGATGGAGCCGTCCAGCCTGTTGTTGGAGAGATAGAGTATGGAAAGTTTGGAAAGGTTGCCAACGGAGGGAGGGATGGAGCCTGAAAAACTGTTGCCGTGCAGCCTCATGTCGATTATCTCTGGCGAAGCTGGAGCTGGAATCACTCCGGAGAGCTGGTTTCCGTAGAGGAGCAAACTCCGAAGCTTTGCCATCCTGGCGATGGACTCTGGTATTGCTCCACGGAAGAAGTTCCTCTCGAGGACCAGCTCTTCCAGGTTGGTGCAGTTCCCGAGCTCCTCTGGTATTGCTCCGGAGAGCTGGTTTCCACCGAGCATCAAAAGTCTGAGACGCTCAAGCGTGCCAAGCGATCGAGGAACGCCTCCCAGGAGACTGTTGTTGGAGAGGATCAGCGTCTCCATCCTTGGACAGCTCGTCCGGAACGCTTCCTTCAAAGCGTTCCCGTCGAGTCTCAGCAACCGAAGCCTTGTCAAGTTTCCGACGATCGGTGACAGGATCCCTCGGCTGTTTGTCCTCCCGATTCCCAGAAACTCGAGCTGAGTCATGTTCCAGAGGTGTTCCGGGGCCGGACGGTCTGAGGTGTTGTTGAAACCAAAGAGTTGCAAGGTGGCCAAGCGCGGCAGCTGAAGCAGCGACACTGGAATCGAGCCATGCATGAGCGAGGTTCCGTTGATATCAAACCACTCGAGCTTGCTGTTGTTGCCGATCTCAGGAGGAATTGGCCCCTCCAGCCGCTGCAAGCTACACAGCGAGAGCGCCACCAAGTTTTCGAGCCGCCCAAGCTCATCTGGTCCCGCCCAGAGAATTCTCCCCGAGCGCCAAGAGCTCGAGAGACGAGCAGTTTGCAAAAGCTGGTGGAATGAGCCCTTCCAGCCGGTTTCCCTGCACGAAGAATACTCGCAGCTCCTGCATAAACCCAACTTCCTGCGGAATCTCCCCTTCAACACCATTGCTCGTCAGCCAAGTCGAGCAGTTCGCAAGGGACAGAGGAAGAGAACCTGACAAGCGGTTGTTGTCCAGGACGAGTATCTCCAACCTCTGGAGCGCTCCCAGCTCGGGCGGTATCGGACCTTGAAGCTGGTTTTGCTGGGCGTTGAGAAAATGAAGAGCGCTGCAATTGCCGAGATTCCTAGGCAAGCTCCCAGTCAGTCTGTTACCCGAGACGTAGCTTTACAGCAGCCCGAGCTCCGCAGGAAGAGATCCGACCAGCCAGTTTTTGCTCACGTCCAAGACTCACAAACTCGCCAGCTGCCCGAGTGCCGGGGACGAGATCTCACCTGTGAATCCATTTCCTGCCAGATGAAGCTCCACCAGCTCTGAATCGTCACTGTTGCAAATCACTCCCTTCCAGTCGGTGCATGCTCGATCGGAGTTTTCCACAGTCCAGTCTTAAGTGTTTCCCAGTCCCAGGAGGCTCCTTTTCAATGCAACCAAGACCCCAGCTTTGTGTGCGTTGAGTGACGCTGTAACTGAGCAAGGAAGTCTCCATCTGCGGAGACGCGAGATTGGCTTCCACAACTCCGTGATGAATCTCTCGGCCTTCGTCCAAAGCTCCCAGCAATGCACAGGCATTGAGAGCACTGGAGAAGCTCACACCACTCGGCTCCACGTCCGTCCTCTTGAAAGGGTTGAGAGCCTCCTGTGGATTCCCATGCTGAGCGTAGGCCGCGATCATCGAAGTCCAGGAGATCACGTTCCTAGCCGTCATGGAGTCGAAGACCTTCCGAGCTTCCACCGGGCTCCCACACTTCCCATACATTGTCACCAGCGCGTTCTGGACGACAACGTTCGTGTCGAATCCCCGCGAAGCCAGGTGCCTGTGGACCTTCCTTCCCTTCTCCAAGTTCCCCAGCCCTTCAACAGCACCCAGGATGGTGGCGAACGTATAAGCGTTCGGTTCGATAGCCTCCACCTTGCTCATCCTGGAGAAGAGCTCCAGAGCTTCCGCGTGCTCCCCAGCCTGGACGTAAGCCGATATCATCGCCGTGTAGGACCTGACGTTCCTGGCTTTCATCCCCTCGAACACCTTCCTGGCCTCCACCATCTCGTCACACTTAAGATACATGTTGAGCAGCGAGTCCTGTAGAACATCGTCCTGCGGAACCTTGGACGCGAGAATCCTCTCGTGGATCGCTCGTCCATCAGCCAGGCCCGCAACACTAGCACAACCACCGAGAGCGCAAGCGAAAGTCACCACGTTGGGTTCCATCCCCTCGGCGATCATCCTCCTGTACAGCACCACCACCATCTCTCCCCGCCCGGCGCGAGCATACGCCGAGATGATCGACGACCACGCGAACAAGTCCTTTCTCGATCCCCTCAAACACCCTCTTCGCATCGTCGAGGCTGCCACACTTAGCATACATCTGGAGCAAGGCCGTCTCAAGCGGGATGTCCGTCCGGAAGCCCGTGATGATCAGGTGCTCGTGGAGCCGCCGCCCCTCCTCGAGCGCCTGGAGCTTGGTGCAAGCCGCCACCAAGCTCGTCACTATAAACTTGTCCGCGACGATGCCTCGGTCCTCCATCTCCTCCCAGAGCTCCAGCGCTTGCAAGGGGCGGTCCTCCCTCACGCACGCCGCGATCATGATCGCGTAAGTCCTGTCGTTCTTGCTGGCGATGGAGTCGAACACCGCCTTGGCATCCAGGAACTTGCCACACCGGGCATACATGTGTACCACCAAGTTGCCCAGGTACCTGTTCACCATGAGATTATTCTCGGCAATGTGCTTGTGGACTCTCCTACCTTCTTCCAGGGATTTGTGGCGGCAGCACCGGTGGAGGAGCGATTCATAGACCAGCGCTGGATCGCTCACGTTCTGCCGATCAATCTCTGCCAGGGCATTGCCCGCGCTGGATCTCTTCAAGCTCCTCTTCACGGCGTGCATGATGCGGTACTTGAGATGGACCTGGGGCGCGCGGTAATCGCGAGGACGCCCTCGGCTCGCTGCGCGCATTCTTGCTTGGCGCCATCGCGGTACCTGAGATTGGAGGCAAGGTAGCCGAGGTAGCCGCTCGGCAGCGATCCGAGGCTCCGCCCCTTGTACTCCCCAAACTTCATCACGCAATTCGTGGCCAGCACGCCGTTGAGCTCCGTGCGTGCGATCGGCCGCGGCAGCTTCTCCCTGGCAGTGGCCATCCCGGCTTGCGCAGCCGCCGCCACCTCCTTGACGATGGAGGCCGCCTTGCCGCGGCATTGCGTCGTCGCCATCGCGGAGACGCATAAACCCTAAAACCCCTCTTAGTCACAAATTTGCAGTATTACAAATTATCTCTTCATTTAGTTTTAGTTAAGAGGTACCCTCAACATCATCATAATCTTCACATTTATTGTGTCTATCCAAGAATTCACATTCTTTATTAATGTTAGCATCACCAACGTCAATCAGAAAATTATGCAAAATTCAGCAAGCATAAATAACATCTGGAGCAATGTTGGGCTACATTCTCAACTTTATATTCCAATCTTTAGAACTTACTTGTAGAAAGGTGAAAAAAGAAATAGATAGAATGAAGCTAAAATAGACATATCATTAAGCAAGCCAAATGTACATTCTATAAGTTGTCTTGTTCTTGAGAGCTCTTTGTTGCAGAAGTGCTTGGTTGCATTGAGATGTGCCTATTGTTGAAATGGTGTCATGATTCACAAACAACACAGGTAGCCTTAGGTATGGTGGCAACACAAGAGCCAGCTCTAGGCTAGGCCATCTTAATCCCATTGGAGTTTGCATGATCTCTTTATGTTAGAGATACTTATGAAATGATGCAAGCAATCCTCGATAGTAGAAAGCCGTTTATTAACATATGCTGTGGGTAGCCAGGTTCTGTGGGTCCATGATCTCAAGCTGTGTACAGTAGTTTGTACAAGCTATGAAATGCAGCCATGTATATAACACTCTCATAGCTCTTTGGAATTGATGAGTGTACAGTGAATGGGATTGTGGACAAAACTTCTGAGGCAATCATTGATACTTTTGGAGACATGATCAAGTTCCAATTTAAATCTTCTGCTCTCCAATAGTTAGTATTTTGCTTTAGAACATGATCACATAGACTCAAATATTGTCTTCCCCATGCCAAAGTTCTGCTTCCAACAAGAAGAGCCCAACACATTAGGGCTAAGTAGAAGGCAATGGTTATTATATTCTCTTTAATGGAGACTTTTTCAGCCATTACATTACATTATAGCAAAGTTTGTTTTTAGGAAATGTCTTCAATTGAAGCAAGTGCAGCTACACTCAGCAAACAAAGCTGCAGACATCATCAAGTCCAAATTAGATGCTACTGCTACATAATAAACTACAGAATCACATTTTCAACACAGAAGCTCCATTGGTTGGGAGTTTATAGCAGTTAATTTCATGCTATCCCATTGGGTGGTTTCTAATGTCATCGAGTGAAGTGATCACAAAGTTGAGCTTGATGACTTGCAATTCACCTTGATTTCTTCACACAGTTGTTCAGCATGTATTGCCATGTTTGAAGTGAGGAGGAGTGTCATTCACCCCTCCTCCAAAAGATTGTGCTTGCCACCTTTGGTGTGTGCTGGCCGCTGTGTGAATTGGGAGTGGAGGAAGTGAGATGCGTTCGGTTAAGCCATCCCAGAGTCTCCCTCATGATTCCGTGAGACAATCAAAAGGCATGTTCAAGTCGAGAGGATGATTCCAGACTTTGTCAGGCTTAAGTTTGAAGTAGACTACCAATGGGAGGCACTGTCTCACTAGTACCTTGCAAGTAACTGTGCCAGCTGCCCTGTGGATGTGGGCAACGGTTCCCACCTTTCGAAGCAAATCTTGTCCAAAGTCCATTGGGTAATGTCTTCGTTTTGGAGAGAAAGCTGAACCGGACAGCGCTAGCCAGGAGCGAGTGGGATTGGACGTAAACCACATTGTAACTAAATGTTCCCAAGACCTGTCTCTCGGTGTTGAAGTCACACAGGCCTTGGCCCATAGTTTGCTTAAAATCTGGGTTGTCAACTGTGACAAGCAGAGTGAAGGCCGATTCAAGTCTTGGGGTGGTGTATGTGATGTGTGGAAACGTGGACACAAACACTGGTAGCGCTGTCATTGTGTTCAAATGTTTACATGACTCAATGGACACCACTAGATGCGACTCACCACGTGAACATGCCGTGTGGTGTGCTGATCGAGACTCAACTCTCCCACTTTGGCTAGATCAGCTGTGAAGGGTGAACTACCCCTCCCACTCAGCGATGGAGAGCGTAATCCAAGAGCAGTTTGGTGGCATTCAAACAGACCGCAATGCAGTGCTGTGGTGAGGATATTAGCAGTCATATCCTCTATCGGGCAGGCGGGCCGGCTATGGCTGCCTCGACGCCGAGCTAGGGAGAGAGTTTTGCCGCGACGTTGGAGGAAGCTCCTGAGCTTGGAGTAATGGAGCACTGTGTATAGTGTACAGGCTGCGAGTAAGGTACGTTACTCATTTCTCAAAGTTTTTCTTCTAATGCTTTATTTTGTTAAAGTGGAACTTATTCAGTAAAGTGGGACATTAATTAGCATGTGTCCACATGCCATTTCCTAGTACTTAATTAATATTTATTAATATTTCTATCAGTTTTTTAATTTATTTTTTATATTTCACAATATTATAACACAAAATCATATGAAAAGTTTTTAATTTATAAATTATAAAGCTAAAACTTCAATTTTTTATTGTTGTTATAAAAATGGCATGTGGCCACACACCATAAGTGGGATAATGAAAAGTTCCACTTTAACAAAATAAAACATTCTAGATTAAGTTCTTCTCTCAATCTCATGCAAGTTTTTTTTTTGCTTCGTTTTTTTCAGCGATCGATCGATCAGGGAACTCGTGGTACTGTATAGTTCCATCGCAGACTCCAGTGATTGTATCTTTGTAGCAGGATCAAAGTTTTGCTTAAAATCTTTGTTCCTTCTCGAAAAGAAAAGAACCTTCTTTTAGTACGGACTGGGCTGGGCCTGTCCGAATCTCCAATTTATGACCATGTGTCGCGGCGTTTTGGACCGTCCATCGTCGAGCGGCTGACTTTGTTTTGTGGGGCAATTAGGGTTCCTGGCGTGGGCGCGATAGGGCAGCGGGGACGCGAGATGGCGGTGGCGGCGAGACGCGTGGACGGGTGAGTGGATCGCTTCCCTGGATTGCGACGCCGCGCCTCCGCACAGCCTAATTTCGATTCTCTCTAGGTAGGGGAAGAAGATTGGCTTCCAGGGATTCTTTAGCTCCCCGGCGCTATCGAATCGCGGATTGGATAGAAGGAAGAACAGGGCAGGGAAAGAAGAGAAGCAAAAATGGATCTCGCGTCGATGCAAGACGCATTCGATCGAGTAACGAAGAAGCAGAAGCTCTCGTACGCCAAGACCGAGGATGTGATCGACAAGTTCATGCACGAGATCCAGGCGGCGGCGTCCAAGCTGGATCAAGGCGACGTGGTGGATCACAGCGCGGTGCTGTCGGAGCTCCAGGCAAAGCTCACGGCGGCCGTGAACCAGCTCTCGTCGGCACAGAAGGAGGTGAACTTGGCTCTCAGCAAGTATGGAAAGGTGATGGACAAGCAATTTTGCGCGGATCTCTCCAAGGCTTACAGGGACATGGACTTCGATCACAGGCTCGTCAACCAGATCATCGCCCTCCACTTCTACCGGCAGGGGATGTTCGAGCTGGGCGACTGCTTCGTCGGCGAGGCCCAGGAGAGCGAGGGTGCCGCCGCGCTCAAGCTGCCATTCTTCGAGATGTATCAGATACTGGAACACATGAGGAACAAGAACTTGGAGCCGGCGATCGAGTGGGCAAAGTCACACCACAAGGAGCTCAAAGAGAAGGGATCCTCGCTCGAGTTTAAGCTCCACCAGCTGGAGTTCGTCCAGACGCTGCTCAAGGCCGGGAGATGGGAGGCGCTGCTGTATGGGAGGAGGATCTTCGGCAAGTTCCCGGATCATTTGGGAGTGATCAAGAAGCTCATGGCGTGCATGGTCTACTTCGCGCGCGACGTCGGCTCCAATCCTTACAAGGAGCTGCTGGCGCCGTCGCACTGGGAGAGCGTGGCGC